TCTCTAAAGACATATCCCAGCAGATTAGAGAGACCAGAGCTAAGCTCTGCTATTTACTCCCAGAGAAAAAGCAGGCCAAGCACACAAAAGAAATAGAATTACCTAGTTTACTATGCAGGGAAAGAGGCAGAAGAGGAAACAGAGCTTCTTCAAAGAAATTTCAATGGCAATAACATAAAAGGGGACAGGATTGATTTAATACTTTCAGTCTGACTCCCAGATGAGGAATCAATTATCCTGCATCATTTAATCTCCTTAAGCAGGTCATGACACAAACTAGAAATTAGAAGCATTGTGTCTAAAATGAAGAGCAGCTCTTAATGGTAGTTAGCATCAGTCTCAAGATTTTTAGCAGAAAATGTAACTGGGATTTGGGGCACTCTGAAGAGTCAGCTCCACTGGATTTCTACGGTCAGACCCAAATATTTTAAAAGTGAGTTTGTCCTTGTTTACTTAACAAGGTTTACCTAACAAGAGATGCAGAGCAGTTATAAGAAAAGAAAAATAAAAGGGAAAACAAAACAAAATAAAAACTAACCTTTTGGATAAACTCCAGCCCTCCACCAGGAACATGACCTTCAGAAAATTTGCACAAAATTACTTACCTGCCATGTTTCAAACTATCCTCTCTTCACAGCAACCTTCTCAGCTAAACCAAGCTCCTACATTTTTTACATCATTCAAGAGAACAGAACCACCACTCTACCTAACCAGGTGCAGCCCCTTGCTAAAACAGCCTTCTTTTCGAACAGAAACAGCTCGGATGAAGAAACGTGATGCAGGAGGGGGCTCCATCTGAATTCCCTCCAGGCTGGAAGAGATGATAACAAAGGTCCTTGTCCCTGTATAGCCTCCTACTGAGCTTGCCAATTACATTTCTTGTGTGGAACTGTTGACATAATCAAGCATAGACACTGAAACAGAAGCAGTATAGCTAAAGAAAGATCCTTATTTTGTCAGAGTTTCTTCCTGGGGGAAAACTAGGACACAATGTAAGCATTACGATGAACTTTCAAGAGAAGCTAAAATTATCCAGGATTATAAAAATATAAGCACGTTTGGTTTATTTCCTGTTACCAAAACCAATTCAGCATTGAAGAGAAATTAAAGGGTTTGGGGGTAGTGGGTTTTGAGTTGTGTTTTGAGGATTTTTGCAAAAGCTCTATGATGAGGCCAATGTATTTTCAAGAAGTAAGCTCAACATACCTCTTTTAAATATTCTTTAATAGACCTTGGAAGTAAATTAAAATTTTGTCATAAAACTCTATATAGAAACTGTCTGAAACAGTGGTTTCCAATGAAAGTCAGATCAGGAATTAACCTTGTTATTTGCAGTCCCTACATCACAGACTGCAGTGTTCTTTCTTCCAAGTAAGCAGCTGCCAAAGGATCTAGGAAACAAAATCTTTTGCATTTCTCACATCAATCTGCATAATTCCATTCTCTCTGATCATGTTTTCCCTATCTTAGGATCTTTTCCCAGAATGCCCCAATGCAATTAGCTTTCCCAATCCTGCTGGTACTCACCTGCCATCTGAAACTAGGATTTCTGGATCAAGGGAGAGACCACGTTGTATCTAACAGTAGAAACAATGGGATGTGGGGACCACATATGAGAAAGATAATTGTAATTTAAGGGCTGACCTGTACAACCTATTTTTACACTGAAGTATTCAGGAAAAAAACTATGCATCATTTGCCTTTTAAATATCATGAAGAGGAAACCATGGTAGCAGTTTGTTCAATAGGTACTTAACACTGCAATTTTACGACTGTAACATACAGTACTCACCAAAACACCTCTGTACTGGGGATGCTCCTTGCAGCACAAGGACATGCTCTACAGAGAGACCTGGACAGGCTGGATAAAGGGGGTGAGTCTGAATGTATAAGGTTCAACAGTAGCAAGTTCCAGGTCCTGCACTTGGGTCACAACAACCCCAAGCAGCACTACAGGCTTGGGGCAGAGTGACTGGAAAGCTGCCCAGCTGCAAAGGACCTGGAGGTGCTGGTCGACAGTGGCTGCACTGAGCCAGCAGTGTGCCCAGGTGGCCAAGGCCAATGGCATCTGGGCTTATATCAACAATAGTGTGGTCAGCAGGACCAGGGCAGTGATTGTGCCCCTGTACTCAGCACTGGTGAGGCTGCACCTTGAACCCTGTACTCAGTTTTGGGCCTCTCACTCAAAGAGATTGAGGTGCTGGAGTGTGTCCAGAGACGGGAACAAAGCTGAAAGAGTCTATAGCATAAGTCTGATGAGGAGTGGCTGAGGGACCTGGTGGTATTTAGCCTGGAGAAAAGGAGGCTGAGAGGGAAAACCTAATCACTCTCTACAACTACTTGACAAGAGGTTGTAGTGAGGTGGGGGTCGGCCTTTTCTCCCAAGTAACAAGGCACAGGCCAAGAGGAAACATCCACAAGTTGTGCCAGGGGAGGTTTAGATTGGATGTTAAGAAAAATTTCTTCATGAAAAGGGTTGTCAAGCACTGGAACAAGCTGCCCAGGGAAGTGGTGGAGTCATCACTTAAATACCTGGAGGTATTTAAAAGACATGTAGATGTGGCACGTGGGGACATGGTTTAGTGGTGGACTTGGCAGTGCGGGATTAGTGGTTGGACTCGATCTTTAAAATCTTTTCCGACATAAATGATTCCATGGTTCTATGACATAAGGTACTGAAAAGATTTAAGATCAAATAAAGCAGATGCTTCATTTTCAACACTGCTTACCTTGTCAGTTGATCTCAAAAGAGAAAGCCTTAAAAAACATTTCAGACTATAGGCACCATTCCTGAAGCTTTGCCAAAAGCTTTCTTGTGTCATTGTATTGCATATCAAGAATTCTCAAATAAAATGTGCTCTGAAGGCTGCTTCTGTACCTAGAGAAAGCAGCAACTCCCACTGTAATTGCTAGGTAGAGGCTGTGAATGACAGACTGCAGTTCTAAAAACCATCACTATATGTTTTCCTAACAACAACAAAACAACAATAAATGTGTGAAGAAGGCTATAAGATGCAGGAGGAAAGTGCTCTATTTTGAACTCCACTTTTTCAAGTGCTGTGTTTTACAAGTGTGCAGTGAGGGTTTGTTTCTTTGGGGGAAACGCACTTCACACACAAGCCAGCCAAAATGTTGCCAAGTGCCTCTGAAGTTCCAATATTCCTCCCCTCCTCGGGGACAGGCTCTGGTCTCCTGCAGGTTGTTGTCTGACTCCTGCTGGCACTAGAGGAGTTTGCCCTGTGGATTAACAAGCAGATGCAACTGAGGTTACGACAGGCAGTGGTACTTCTACCTAAGAAGTCCTTTCATCTTCACAGGAGGACTTGAATGATAGCAAATGGTAAGAAAGTTGAAATGACTTCTCAAATCTGCTGCTTATTCTTCACTCTTGAAAAAACATTTTCAGTTCAATTTTGGAAGTTTAACACAGCTCTCAAGAAAATGACTAAGAACAAAAACCATCCTTTCATTTGGCATAAACCTACACAAAACACAAAGAAAGCATCTTGGTCCTGCAGCTTCAATACACAGCTGGCATTAACAAATAACTGTATGTTCAATTAAAGTTATTTTTATGAAATGCTTTAAAATTCCAAGAAGAAAACATATATGTACAATTCACAACATTCGCTTACTCCAAACTCCTATTTAATACAAGAGAAACAACAATTGGCCCTTACTGAAGTCACATACTGGCATCCTGTTAGTTAAGCTTAACTTTTTATATATTTGGTCAGTAATACGTGCCAAGTTTTATTTCATGCTTGTATGCTTTCACTCCCCAGCCATATATTCTAAGAACAAGCTAAACACTGCAAATGACAATGTAAAACACTGACAGACCCAATGTTAAGTATCAGTTTTGCTATTCCTGGAAGCACACACAAAGAGTATTTCCCCTTTGGTTGTTTGGGTACTTGTCAGTTCCCACATTCTAGGCAAAACTGCCTTAAGGATCAACTTCATAACCTATTAGCCCTCCTTGGCCTAGGTTCCTACGTAGTCAACAGAGAAAGACTGGAAACTATTTGCTGAGGCTTCTGTCCCAATACAACACACATGAGCTCAGCTGCCCCCAGGTGTCCAATGACCCCCTGACTGCAGGGGAAATCAAGGCACCCAGCACAGAACATGTGAGCAACCTTGAGGCAAGCTGAAGTCAGGCAAGCTTGATTTTCCTAAGTGATGAGAAAAAAATATTATGCAAAACCATGATTGGTAAGAAGAGCTAAATTGGCAATGATTATTCATTATTTCCTCACAATAAAAAAATCAGGGTAGGTAGGCAATGAGCCTAAAAACGAAGGGAAATCTTTTCCTACGCTATTCTACTGTGAAACTCATTGCCACAGGAGCAAAAGTATAAATGGGTTTGAGAAAACTAGATGGCAGCATTGAGGAAAAATACCTAAAAGATTACTGAAAACAAAATACATTGCTACAATTGCTTGTCATTTACAACATCAGCCACAAAATGTCAGATGCTAGAAGAAAACCAAAACAAAACAAAACTGCCCACCGCTGCATACCTTCAGTTACACTTCCCCCCAAAAAAAAGCCACTATTGACAGTAATCTGTAATATCCATAAACTGAACTCTCTTTAATGAAGCAGTCTTCTAATCCTTAGTTGCAACACTAGGTGGCAGGGAAACATCTAACTCGCCTACAGCATTGAGAACCTTGAATGCAGAGTCTCACTTGGCAGTAGTTAAGGATTAGTGCAATGCAGCAATCTCGGGATCATACAACTGCACTTGCTTTGTGTCCTTACATAGCTCTGGGCAACATTTTCCAAGTGCAATGCTGTGTTCATAGACCCACAGCTTAGTGATGTCAGAAGACAGGCTCATCCTTTCCCTGAGATGCCTTGCCCTCTCATTTAAGAAATCATGGATGATTGCAAAATGTTTTTTCCTCTCCAAAAACAGTTCCAACAATTCCATTCTGTGTTTGAAATCCTGATGACCACCCTCTCTGTAAAGACATAGCACCACAACATTTACTTCATGCCTCTGTTTTTCTAAAAATTCACTTTATTATTTAAAATTCACATTATTTGTGTGCTACTTGTGAAAAATACCGCAAAGGGGCAATGAAACAAGTTCTGCAACTCATGCAGCTGCAAAGCAGGTAAGCCCATGGAAACTGTTCTTCAGGCCATAGTGATCCTCCTGTCAGTACACTTTTCCTCCTATAAGATCTCCCTCAAACTGGGAGAGAAAGGTGTGATCTTTTTCAATGAATGCGAACTCCGAGTTTCAAAACAAAAGTGTGTGTACATTTAAAGGACACCACCTCTGCACTGAGGCAAAATTTGCTGTTTTCCAAATTACAGACATTTCCTAGATTGTTGCTGGCAGTAGAAGTAAAAGTCTGACATTTAACTCCTGCCTTGTTCACATAATTCAACAAAAAATGCAGACAATTATTGCATTTTACAATTGCAATATTACAATTATGGGTGGTTAACACTCTCCCTTTAGAAGGGCAAAATCAGCACAGGATAATCATTCTTCTCATTCAGCTTTGTACCATTTTCTCAGCTGTATAAAAAGAGATGCTGATGTCTTCCAATACATCTTTTTAAAATCTGCAGGAAAAACCCCCAAGGTCAGCACTGCTTTTTAAGCAGTGACACACAAGAAGGAAGGTCAAGTAATTAAGCCACAGACTAGAAGTTATACAAAAAGTAGTTGCTGAAACTGATCTTGGCACACAAACAAATCACAGAAAGTCATTGAACTGGATTTTGATTTTCACAATGATGGATAACTAGAAAGTTTGTTTCAGTTCCGAAAAATAAGTTAATACAAAATTTAAAAAATACTGATGTGCAAGTCTTTGCTGTATAAAAGGAGGTACATTTTCATACTTTAAAATAGTTTAAAACTGTTTAAAACATTTGTACATAATGAACAGAAATTCTCTTTTATATAAACAAAGTGTTTCTTTGCCAACAGCAATCATCAACTCCAAAACACAGAATTAAGATGACAGGAGAACCAGACAGTCTAAGTCACTGCTATTTGTGTCCAAAAAAATAATGCCACCCTTTTCTACAGCTCATCATGCTTGTATGTAAATTCCCTTGCGGATATAAACCCATCACTGTCTTCATCTTCTTTATCAAAGATGTCTTCAACTAAAGCATCATGCTGGGTGTCATTTACCACTGCTCCATGCTTTTCAAATTCTTTCTTCAAGTAAATTTTCACCTATTAGACAAAAGGTGAGAGATAACACTTTTAGGTTTATGAAAAAGTTGATGACTGCAGTGTAAGAGAGGGCCACCATGATCAGGATGGTAGATAACAGATAACAGATCAGGTAGATAACAGATACCTTCCCTCCCGTGCCACTGCCAGAATAATACTTGTCTGACTGATTCTGCAGCTCCTATCAGTGATGAGAGTCTTCAGTAACAGAAGTGACAGTAAAACTAGCAAATCTGCTGCCAGAGCTTTATGGTACCTGACTGAAAAATGAGCCGGGACAGCTTGTCATCTGATGTCTACACAGTAAAGTATAAATAGCTAGGCAAAAGTTATTAGCCGCCAATTGGTCAGACACCCAAACAGCTTTTCCACATCCTCGCACTTTGACAAACCAGTAGATGTAAACAGTTGCCCAAAATATATAAGAAATCTGTCACAATCTCAAGTGTTTGCTGCTCTAATGGGAACTACATTAAATGATTTCTAAACATCACAAAATTTTGAATGACAAAGAGTCAAGGTAGCTTTTAAACAGACTTCTGGAACAGTTACCTACACTAAGCTAATTACTAATGGTAAGCAGTGTTTTGAACAAAATGAGATTATTTTTACTCAGTTTCTATGGTTTAACTGTTGAGATCCTTCTACAAGGATAACAATACCAACATACCCACCTGTGAAACAAATACCACTTGTATAAGAACTGTAACAGTGGACTGCTAACAGCCAGATAAATAGGCCATGTTTCAGGGTTGTTTTATTAATTTCACACTCTGGTATTTGTTAGGGTCATTGCTTATATTTCCAATACACATATATTAGACACCCTGACACTGTCTGGTGCATAGTAAAAATAATTAGCCTTCTGGGTCTAGTAAACCATACCAGGCTCAAATCAAAAAGAACTCAGTTGTTTATACTGGCTTCTCATGGGTCACTTTTGCACACTGGGAAAGCAGAAGACTGAAAATAAGAAGCAAACAGAAGGTGAATAATGCTGACTACATGTCCTTCACAGAGTGAATGCAATGAAATACGACTGCCCTACAGCAGCAAAACTTCTAATTCCAGTTTATTAATAAATCAGCAATTAACTCCAAAAAGCCTTGAAGTCTGGCTTTATTTTGAAGATGCTTTCTTTCACCCAAGTCTCCCATAGGCATGGGGCACACATGAGTCACATGCCTACACCCCAGCTTAACAAGGCTCCTTTTGAAGCCCTTTGGAGTCCAGAATTTTCACTACGATGCAACGCTCAGGGTAGTGCAGCACAGATGTGCATCCTTGGCTTAGTTTTACTGAAAAAGTCTATTGTTGAGGTGCAAGTAAGTATGTGAGCTGAAGTCAAGCAAGAAAGACAAACCACTGACAGGAGCTTGGTAATTGCTGAGCCAGGAATAGCGTTTAGCAAGAAAGACACCAACATGAAAATGCCAAAAGCATGAAAGGAAAAAAAAACAAAGCTAAGAATTGGAAGGCAAGAAACAAAGAAAGTCATCTCCAGAGAAGGACAGAGGCTCACCCTTCCCCACATGACTAATGACCACCTGGCCACCAATGGCCTTTTGGGTGTCTTACCACTTAATGGTATCAGTTCTGCAGTTAAGCTAACAACTCATTAGTTACCTCAACTGTCCATCACCCAATAAATAAGTACTTATTTAGTACCTTAAGTACTAAGTAGTGTGTATTATGCTTGTTGAGTTGCTCTGTGCACAGCAGTAGCTAAAATCTAACTTGTGTATAGATACTTCTCTAACAGGATCGAGTTAAGCCTATCTTTTCTTTTTCACTATCCCATTCTGTTAGATTTGCTTACAAGAGAAGAGTAACCCACTCACCTCTTGCTTGGACAGTTTCCAGTCATCATTAAGATCCATCTCTTGGAAAGACTCATGAGACCTTGGCCCATTTCTAATTTCTAGAAGGTCAATGTTGAAAATCAGTGTGCTCTCAGGTGGAATTTTTCCTGCACAAAATGGAGAAAAGTTAAAAACAACTACATATTCAGTGCCATACAAAAGCCATATGCATAAGAGCAATGTTCCAGTAACCTTACTTATTTCAAAGCATCCTGCAATTTGAACTAACAAGGAAAAGTATCTGTAACAGTGATAACTGTACGCATTTCAGACTGTGGTTTGGACTCTGAGCAGCCCTTACAGCATATACACAATTTTAGATGCAACTACTTTTGTTGGAAGCCAGTAGGTGTGGATGTGAGCTCATATTCAGCAATCATCATCACAAGTTTGTTAAACAACATTCTTGAATAATTTTTTCATGGCCAGAGCCAGTTGAAGAGGAAAGCAGTAAAGGAGACTGTACAATTAGAGAGGCTACAGCCAAGACTAATAGATAGGGCAACAAGAACAGAGAATTTAGCTTTCCCAATACACCATTACCCTGCCAGGCTCCAAATTCCTCTCCACTGCTAACTGACACCCTGTATCTGCTATTCTGCCACTGCAAAAAAACTCTTGAACAGAGAAAGAAAGAAGGGCAGCAACAATGACAATATCCCACAGCTATCTCTGGACTGCTGCACAAGGCACTGAGCTATTTCCAAACACACAGCAGAAACTAAGTATATAAACCTGACCAAAAGGCATGTGTTGTCACAATGTCATTTTGGATGCAGGTGAGAAGACCAGTAACTTCCTAATAGTGGCACAGACCCTCCCCCTGCCACCACCCCTCATGGATTTCAGTTTATTAGGCATTGGCTTTTACAGAGATGTGATATGCCCTCATGCTGATGGCTGAAGCTATTGTCAAAGATCTTTTAGCACATCACTTTGCCACTTTATATAGAGAGGGGTTGAATAGGACCAAGCATATTTCTATCTTGGATGGCAGCACCCCAAAAAAATATTCCTATCCCTTAGAAAATATAGGCAAATAACTAATCCACAGCATCTACTTTGAAACTATGCTGTTAAATATACTCTGAGCTGCAGCAATAAACAAGCTTGTAGATTTCTGGGATGAATAAACATGCAGAAACTTCCGGAAATACAGGGTACGGTGCTCTGATCAGATTTTGGGACAGAGGTAATTTTTCTGAGTGTTACAGAAAAAGGCATCTGACTGGAATGATGAGTCAGAAAGCAAGCAAGGTGGGAGGCTGGTGAAATTATTTGCATTTGGAGGAAAGCATGAAGAAAATGAAATAATTGTCTTCAAGGGCATAATTGAAAATAGCAACATAATTATGCTCAAATATTTCAAAGCCTTCCTAAAGCAAGTCGTTTCTTACAGCAGTTAGCAGGGTTTACTTGTTTAACCTTCTTGCACTACAGAGGTGAGGCTTGCAAGTCTTTGAAGAACAACTGTACTGCTTTGCATATCAATCAGAGCAATTAGGCCTGTGATGACTATGTGAGCACTGCAGCATTTCATAGCTTTTTGTAGTAAAATTTACAGCTGTCTCCTGCATACAGGCAACTGGCTGACCACCACAAGTTTCCTGTTCTCTACTAGAAGCATGATGATTATTTCTAATACTATGTCCTGAATCCCAAACCAAGGCTTCTAGAAAAATATTTTTAAAGGGTATTTCAAGAAAGTAGGGTATGGAGTAGGCTGTATGTATGGAATACTACTTAGCATGAGTACTACTTAGCCTGTGTTCAGCCCTACTTGCCAGAAGATACAGACATGCAAACACTCCTCACACCTACAACAGTCTCATATTAATTGGAGACAACATTAGCAGGATGGACTATATGGTCCTAGACATTCATCCTTTCTGCTTTGAAACCTTGCATTACCATAGGTCTTTTGTGGCAACTCTTGTTGTGACAAACATAATCATAAGATGTGCTCGAAAAAAGTTAAATAAAAAAAATTAAAGTTAACTTAAAACAGACCCTGTAAGGCAGAAGTAGAGCCCTCCTGCAATCATTCAAGACCTCACTTCCTTAACTGCACCTTCCAAATCTAGACCTCCCATTAAAACAGGAATCTGGAAACACTGAAAGGAAAACTCCCAAACACCATCAGTAGTAGACAGGTTGAGAAAACCCTACAAGCAAGACTTTTATCTGCCTGCACACCGTTCAGTACATTTTCAGTAGGTGACAGTGTGACTGCCCATGCCTCTGCACATCTTACTATGGATAACAGGGACCACTGCCCACACTGAAAACAGCTATAAGAGGGAAAGAATTAATGTCCCTATATGGATAAATAAATAGTGACTTTTCACTGTATCAGCTAAAAAATGGTTGGGCAGCAGTACAGGGAGTTTCTTAGGGTTTTAAAAGACAAGAATGAGGCTTGCACATGCACATTCATGAAGTATTACTACAAAAACAGATGCAACGGCCAAAAAGCCAACTGTTACCTGAGCAACCACCTCCACTTGACTGAAAAAAAAAAAAAAAAAAAAAGAGGAAAAAACCCAAAGCAAAGCAAAGAAAAAGCAGGGCACTATTGAGGACAGAACATACAGCACAGCAGCTACCATCAATTTCTTGGGTTTTTTTCCTGTATTCACCACATAACGACTTACTGATTATTTTTGCCGAAAATAAATTGATGAGAAAGCGCACCTGACTCCATCAATTTTTCTTACTTAACGGAATCTGCCTGGAAAGCTTGCTACCCTTTTAGGCCAAGAACAACAGTAAAATACAGAGATTAAAAGCAACTGAAGGATGGGAAAGGCTTCCGGTGTTTTACCTTTCCCTTCTTTTCCATAAGCAAGGGCTGGTGGAATAGTTAGCTTCCGCTTCTCTCCCACACACATGTCCTTCAAACCTCTGTCCCAGCCTTTGATAGCTTCCCTTATGCCAAGTGTAAACCACATAGGCTGACCATTGTTATGCTTGTGACTAGAAAAGAAAGGAATAAAACACTTATTATTTAAACATCTAATCCCATAAAAGGCACATGGAGCAAATGGAATATGCTCACAATATAGATATATAATCAAAACCACACCACTAATCGGCACCCTGACATTTCTCCAACACCTAGACTTTCAAAGTCTTGAAAAATTATGCTTTGCATGACAAGGTTTCTTGAGAAGCAGAAAGAAATAAAATAACATCTACATGGTGTGTTTATGACAACACTGAGCAATCTCTATTCCCATCTTTATTTCCCTGCTCACCTATTTCCACTTGGAAACTGATCAGACTAGAAAGACATTTCTACTTAAAAATCTACAATCAAGGCCGTGCATACTCTTCGGTAAATTGCAAATCAAAACCCAGCCTGGTCATGATTGCAATATACCTTTTAACACTCTTAGAAGTATCAGCCTCCTCTCTTCCAAAAAAGCCATTAGAAGAAACTCAAACGGTAAAACAACTACACAACAGATAGTCTAGAAAAAAACAGAAACAAATGCATGCAAAACACTCAGGTTTAAATTAGGGATACCCAATTTAAACAGGTGGTACAACCCGGACTACTTTCACTCTACTGACAGACACAGAATTTAAAAGCTCTACTTACTACTCGTGCAGGAAAGGTGCTTAACAAGAAAACAGAGCACTTACAGAGATTAGTCAGCAGCAAAAACTTAAGAGTGTCACTGGAAGTTCTTTTAGAGAGGCAGGTTAACTACAAGAGAAAATTAGTGAGATTTTAGTTGAGTTGTCTGCAAGAGCATAAACATGCAAAACTGTCTTTTTTTTTCTTTTTAATATGTTCCATAAACATAGCCTTCAGGCACAGCCTGCAGAGACTTGAGCATTTTGCTGTCTCCCACGATTAACACTTCGTTCGTGTTTTATAGGACAATCAGCATTAGCAAGTCGTTGCAGACTCTTAGCAGACTCCCTCGAATTTGTGGCTCTTCCTCCTATTTGCATTACTGTGGCTCTGGTATGTTGACTTGCCTTCTCGGGAGTAGGTGAAGAACACCCCTTTCAGTAATGAAAAGCTGTTATTGTGCTGCCCGTAGTGGAAGGACACATATAACTTTTTTTTTTTTTTACCTAGAAGTTTGCTTTAGAAACCAGACAGAAATCTGTGCATAGAACGAGACCTATTAAACCGCTGACATCACATTCCAAAACTTGCACTTATATCACAGAATCACAGAATGGCTTGGGCCGGAAAGGGCCCTAAAGATCATCTAGTTCCAATTCCCTTGCCATGGGCAGGGACACCTTCCACTAGACCAGGTTGCTCAGAGCCTCATACAACCTGGCCTTGAACAGTTCCAACGACGAGACATCCACAACTTCTCTTGGCAACCTGTCCCAGTGCCTCGCCACCCTCACAGAATTTCTTTCCAACATCTAACCTAAACCTACTCTCTTTGAGCTTGAAGCCATCCCCCCTTGTCCTGTCACTACATGCCCTTGTATTTTAAATAGTCTCTCTCCATCTTTCCTGTAGGCTCCTTTCAGGTACTGGAAGGCTGCAATTCAGGTCACCCCAAAGCCTTCTCTCTTCCATCCCTGGAACTGTTCAAGGCCAGCTTGGACGGGGCTTTGAGCAACCTGGTCTAGTTCTAGTGAAAGGTGTCCCTACCCATGGCAGGGATTGGAATCAGATCATCTCTAGGGTCCCTTCCAACCCAAGCCATCCTATGATTCAATGATTTGGGAGGGCATATGGGATGCCCCATCCCTGAAAGTGTTCAAGGCCAGGTTGGAAGGGGTTCTAAGCAACCTGGTTGAGTTGAAGTCTCAAGGGAACTTTAAAGTCCCTTCAAACCCAAGCCATTCTGTGATTCCATTTTACACACACATACACACATATATGTATATATATTTATATATGTATTTCCCCGCGCAAGCTCACCCACCAGCTCGCCCGGAGACGCGCCGCTTACTTACGTGGAGTGAAACATGGAGCCGTCCCTCTCCAGGTAGCCCTCGTAGTGAACCAGCATCATGTCCCCCCACTTTGTCTTCCTGTGGCAGATGAAGGGCTTGTGCAGCACCTCCACCTTCACGTCTGCGGGCGGGATCAGCGCCGCGCCCGCGCAGCCCAGCGCCGCGCACAGCAGGGCACACCGCAGCAGCGCCGCCGCCATCGCCGCCACCTCCGCTCGGCTCACCGGGCCGCCATCCCGCAGCACAGCCCCGCTCGCTCGGTCGGTCGCTCGGTCCGACGTGGCAGCGGCGCTCAGCGCTCCCCGGGTCCCGGCGGTCCGGCTCCGCCGGCGCGCCCTCTGATTGGCTCGCACCCGGGCGAGCCCAGGATAGCCCACCGCCCATTGGGGCTCGCCCCTGTCCGTCCCCCAGCTCGCCCAATCGGCGGGCTCGGCCGAGCGGAGGGGCGGGCGGGCCCGCGCGCTCCGGGCAGTCCCGGCGCCGGCGAGCGGGGCAGCCCCGCGGAGCGCGCGCACGACGGAGCCGGCCGCCGCCGGCCGCTGATTGGGCGGCGCCCGCGCGGAGGGCGCGCTGCGATTGGCTGCGGGCGGCCACCCGCTCGGGCGTCCCGCGCGTGTTCCCGCCCCCCCCTCCCGCGCCCGGCGGTCACGCGGGCCGCGATTCACAGCGCGCTCTGCGCAGCCGCAGCGCCGCGCGGCCGGGAGCGTGGCGGCGGCGGCGAGGGGGCGGGCGCGGCGCAGGCCGGGCGGGGGCAGGGCCGGGGCCGGGAGCGTGGCGGGCGCCCCCGCGATGGCGCCGCGCGGCGCGGCAGGGCGCGGCGGGGCGCGGGCGGCGGCGGGCGGTGTGAGCCCCCCGGGGGGCGGCCGCGCTGCATGGGGCCGGGGGCCGGCCGGCATGGAGGGGGTGCTGTACAAGTGGACCAACTACCTGAGCGGTGAGTTGCTGCCCGTGCTCAGCCACGGCGGGACGGGGGGCCATCTTCTTTTGTATATATATTTATACAACTACATGTATCTCTGTTCGTTGTGTTGGCTGGGTGTGGGTCAGCGCTGCCCCCTGGCCTCTCCGTGCGGGGGAGCAGCCCCGGCGCACCCCGGTGTTCCAGGCGCGCCTCCACATGGTCCCCGCCCGGCTCTGGTGCCTGGGCCATTGCCCGCCCGGGGCGCCCGGCGCCCTCCCCGGGCCGTGGGTTGGGGCTTGGGGTTGTTATGGGTGCGCCGGGTCACGCTCGAGCAGCGAACTGCCCCGTCCTACACACACGCCCGTGGAACTTCTGTTGGGGCGAGCCGTGGATTCGGGGGAATCCCGGAGCTGGGTTTCGGATGGAAATGCTTGAGGGGTGGAGGGGAGAAAGAAATTAGAGGGCTGTCCTGCTAGCTTTAGGCCCAGATTTTAATATTTTGGGTGTTCCCGTGCGAAGGAAGGCTTGACTTCCATGGCAGAGCGGCAGGAGCCGTGTGTGGGCAGGCTGTGCTCGGCGGCGGTGAAAGGTGGTGGGGTCAGGAGCACCGCAGAGGCGGGGGGGATCCGGTGCCACCCGTGTTCCTGTGGATGTCCACCGCCGGGATGTTCACATGGAATCGGGAGAGGCAGAGTCGTGCGACTTGGGGTCGTGGTGGGGGTCTTGCCAGGTGCAGACCTCTGTCGGAACAGTTTGGAAACTTGGTGGTGAGAGAGAAGCAACCACGACCACCCTGCACCGCCAGATGCGAGTGTTGCTCCGTAGTGTGTGTACACGGGTTGCCGCCTTGCTTCGGGTTTTTTTCCAGAGAGGCTGGAACAGCTGCACCTCTCTGGTTTGCTGGGAAAGGGTAGGAAATCAAAATTAAACAAAGAAAAAGCTGAAGCACAAGCGAGTGTTGAATTAATGCCACAGGGGGATGGGAAGGAGTAGTGTGAGAGCCTGGATTTATTGGTGTGCTGGATCAGCTGGATTTGTCTTCTGTTTTGATGGTAAGGTGAAGACTAAGAAATATTAACTTTCCATCAAAATAAATTTGTTTTTTTCTGACCACAATGCTAAGCACTTCCAACCAAATGACCCTTCATGAAGGAGAATATTGCTTTGCAAACCTCAGTCTCAAGTGAATGCAGACAGACTCTTTTCCTTGGATATGTGAGATTTGCACTGTCTTAAGGCTAGAAGAGGTTTCGTTCTCAACACAGAGAAAAATCTGTGGTGGAGAATTGAAACATCTTTCTGACTTCTTGTCGAAACTTGACTCTAGCTAGCAAGTGTGGTGGTCAAGGTCTCTCTGTGCCTTTTCTTAGGTTGTAGAAGGCCTATGGTATGTTTGAGAATAATAAATTTGCTGGTCTGCAAGTGAACTGTGCCTACATGTGCTTTCTTTTGGCATAAAGTGGAGACTTCCTGCCCTGTAGCCATTATGTTATAAATTTATGCAGAGATAAAAAAAGCGCAAAATCTCATTCTGGAATGTGGTGTTTTTGTAGCAATAGCAAAGAGCTGGCGAGTGAGAGACAGGAAAGCCTCCTTTCAGGGATTAAGGGAAGTAAGAAGGTTCAACCGGTCATCCAGAACAGTATTTCTGCCAGTATTCTGCCCCCAGTATGCTTTTCCTGTTGCTCAAGGTTGACTAATCTGGTGCTGCATAGTGTGAATGATGCACACAAAAGGCAAGGAAAGTGTGTGCCATCTCTGTATATCACTGTGTGCCTGTGCTATTAACACAGTGCTGATGTAAACATGCACAGCAGGTACTTGTGCCCTTTCCTCCTCAGAATGGGGAACACACCTCAGAGTCGGAGAAGAGATAGGACATTCACCAAAGGACAAGCTTAAAACTGTAGAAAAGGTGAACTGCTTTTCCTTCTTGCTGTGAGAGAGGAGCTGATGGTAGTCTGTTGATAATTGAGTCTTTTCTGGGAATTTTGGTTTTGTAACGTCTTATGTCATCGCTATCATGAGAGGTCAAGTCCACATCAACCTATTTTCCCCCAGCTCTTGGGCTGGGAGCTAGATCTGTGTTGCAAATTACATGGTTATTGACAGCAAGAACATTTCAGAAGTAGGAAGCAAGTTTGGCTTTCTGTGGGCAAAGGGCAAAGAAAGCATAGCATGATTACCAGCAACTGAAAGACAGATTAGTTTGCCTTACTGCTTAAACAAGTTATCTTGTTTGTAATAAATGCACTTGTTTGCTTTATATAGATTAGGATAAATTAAATCAGTATTACCTGGTTGCCACTTGGAGATAAGGTTTTTCCTCCAGTGTTGGTTCTGCACTCACATTGTACTTTCTTTATGCAGGGTTTCTAGTGCTGCCTCTGAAATCTCTGAGTTTAGAGAACTGAGATTTGAGGTTTTATCTGCCTTAATGCAATGGCCACAAGACAGGGATTTCTCAGTGTGTTACTTTTGTTTAAGTTCAAGTGAAGCGTGCCAGCTTTGTATCAGATGTACATGCACACAGGTCTAGCCTATGAAAATGCATTGGAAGATTGTGTTTGTAATAAATGTGTCCTGTGATTGATCTTGTCTATGCTTCACCCACAAAATTGGTTTAAAACCTTAAGGGAACAGGGAACTTTGCAAGCAGAATTATCGTTGTCATACCAAATGTGACAGCGCTTTTTCTCTTGGGCAAATATATAATGCATCTGCAAACTTCAGATTATTAATCCTTAAAGTCCAGAGCTGGGTGACTTAAATCATGCAGGTGTCTAATTTGGCCTCAACTGAGCCTACAGTCAAAGCGTGTAACATGATTTTTTAAAAACTCCTAGATTTCATCCTTTGCCTATTGTGTCTGTCTAGCGTTAGCATTGTTCGGTGAAGTTTGTGGAGGCTGGGGATGGGCTTATCTCTTGGGTGTATAACTGTTGTTTCGGTACTGCTCATTGCAGTAAACACTTGGAGTGATAAAGGCATCACCCTCTGCCTTCTCTATTGCTCCTCAGTCTGTTGTGCTGCTGCTGCCTGTAGTCCTGGCTGAGCATAAAGCATTCTGGTGTGGACAGCATCAAAGCCAGATCCTGGCTGCAGTGTTGTAGCGTGACTGATCTCAAGCTGGGGAATGCTGCTTGCAGGGTAGAGAAAGGAGAGAGTGGAGCTGAACTGCACGTGAAGGCTGAACTCAATCTGCAATTCACGCTCTTTGTTAGGCATACCTTCTAATTGATAAAATAAATTGATTTAGTCTTTATAGATTGCCTCGTAAAAGTCATCTATGATTTTGATTTCTCAACAGGTTTATAGAATGAGTAAGCTATTGCTGGGAAGCAGAGTGTGAAGTTGGGGAATATGTCCCTTCAGTGCAATTTGAGAGCTTGGCACTTTCAAGTTGATTTTTTTCTTTCTGCTGAAATTCAGTTTAGTTTGCATATTCAGTGTAGGCACACACCTTAACTGGGATTGCTGGCCACAGGCAGGATTGCTACTAACTCTGGAGGAGGTGATATGTATCAGCTCTTGGCTTGGGTATCAAAGGCAGCTTTGTCATTAGAAAGAAAATGATGACTGCTTCCACTGGCTTTCCTGGTATATTTCATATTTCCATGAAATGGCTTTGGTTGATATTCCTTACAAAGCTAGGCTTTTCCTGATATTTAAATACTCACTTCCTTATTTATGCTGAGTAACTCTAACCCTAACTAATTTGTCTTCCTCAAGGCATGATACACTTGCACTTATGCCATCACCAGTGACGCTGCATCATGCCACATACTGTAGGTAGCTCTCCTCATCTTCCTGTATGTAATTGTCCCCTCTCAGTTTATTGTTGTACTTTGAATTCTTTTCAGTTTATCCCAAGATGCCAAGAGCCAGCACCAAGCAGTAAATTTCAGCTTTCACATAAAACTTTGAACTACTCTTGTCTCTAATGATTCAGAATTCCTTAATAAACTTGGGGGGAGAGCTCAAGAAAATGTGAAAAGGCATGAGTTCTTATATCTTGAATCTGGATGCACAAGATATTGCTTCAAGTGAGTCTTTGTTTTGGGAGTTTAAGAAATCTGACCTTTTAGGATGGGGGATAGGTACACTTCAGTTGATAGCAAGCTCTGGAAATAAGGTCCTCTGTTTCCAGAGATAGAGGAAGTAATCAAAAACTTCACACTTAGATAAACATTTGGTTCTAAAAAGTATGTTAATATTTTCCCTTCATTTTAGCCTCTGGTTGTAGTCCAAGTTCTGACTGTATAAAATTAGAAGTCTGGCTTTTATGGAGGTGGACCTAGACAGCTGAGGTTTCTGTTGCCTTTAGGGCAATAGTCTGCCTTCTATTACTGGCTCTGGGTACTTTCAGAGACCAGGTGTTGGTTTAGGTGGATGCTTGAGTCTTACCCAGTTCTGGCTACACTTTTCACAAAGAATGCGTCAGGGACTGGTTGGTTAATTCACTTTGGATTTTTCTTAATTTTCGTTTTGTGGTTTGACCTTCTTTCTCATGGCTTTCTGCCCTTCCCTCTGTTTTTCCTCATGCAGCAATCTTGCTTTTGTCCAGCCTATTTGGAATTGAGTAATGTGCTTGCAGTAGAAAAGTTTGATGAGGCTGCAGGAATGGAAATCGGTGTCCCCTCTCTCCTCTGTAAGTGTTAGAGCAGTGCTGCAGAGCCTACATGGTGCAGCGTTCCCTGCAAGGTGTGCTGCAGTACTGGTGCCTCTGCATGCAGTCCTTCTGCACTGAAGTGAGTAAGTGATCACAGGGAACGGCTGGGTAGGACAGAAGCAAAAGATGTGGTAGACTGATTTTGAAGAGATATTGCCATGTGGTATCTGTGTGTGCTTACATAAGTTCATTGTGTTGGCTCAGTCTGGCCTGATAACCACCCCAGGGGTCAGAGAGAGGAGCAGTTGTTTGCTGGGGCTGGGAAGTATAGACAGAGGAGGAAAAACTCCCAGGAGCTTTGTATGACTTGAATTAGTGCATCTGAGCAGTGGCCAGCATTATTGAACTCTTGCCTCCATCACTCACCACGATCCCCTCTCTGCCCTTTATCCTTTCACTGAGTCCCCTTCAGAAATGCCTGATGGCTGGTTCATTGTGCCCTCTGTGCCTTGGCTGGTCACTGGCATATAGTTGTTTGCAAAGAAATCCAGTGGCCCTGTGATGGCAGGATGCTTTTTGATGCTGCTAGCATTGCCCTAACACTCGTCATTGAAGCAAAGGTGGACTTTATGGAACCCCTGTGAGAAAAATCATTTGGGAGAAGGTCACTGTGTTAAAGCTGGTTCCAGCTGTTGCTTCCTTCACTTGAACCTCTAATGTTCCTCAGACAAGTGCTTTTAAAAGTGATACCATTGTTAAAGTGCTCCGTTTGTTAACTTCATTACCTTTGTGGGTTTTGGTATTGATTCCTGCTGTTAATATGCACATAATCAGAGTAAAATTGCAATATGGGCATTTCTAGAAGCTGCTTTCTAGATGAGAGGATAATAGCTCAGAGAACAGGCATGGATTGTCGCACGCTCTTGTCTACCTTTCTGGTGTCCCTCATGGATACAGATGGGATTTTTATAGTGTCATATTGTTTTGCTATTGAATTAAGACTGCAAAATGTGTTCCAGCACCTGGGAAAATACTGTGCAGCCTTAGGAGCCTGTATAGAAACAGTAGGCAGCAGTTCTGGGTGCAGATTGCTTATGTCAAGATAACCCTCTAACTGGTATTACTTCTATTTCTTGAATCAAAATAAAGGGGGGAAGTTTCAAGTTTGACATTTGTCATATATTTTTTGCTAAATGCTTTTCCTGACTAAAAACCTGGTGGTGACTGACAGCATGAAACACATGGCCACATGAACTAAACTTAGGCAATCAGCTGTCACAAACTGGATTGTAAGATTTGGTGTGGGTGCCCACTAGTCAAGATTGCTAGCATCTTGAAAACAAGTGTTTCATCCATTTGTGATCTGGAGAGTTTCACAGCCTTAATTTCCCTGGGAAATCCTCGTATGTTGGACGTTAGCATGTAAGACCAGAAGTGGTCCTTCTGGGCTTTTTACAAGACGCCAGCACTGTCTGGGTTCTACTGGAGCTGAGTTTTCAGCAGCTCCCATCCAGCTATCAGTTGCTGACACAGTGCTGTGCAGAAACTGTGGTCCTTCTGTCCTTGGGCCCTGGGAGATAGAACAGTAGTTGGTGGTACAATGAACACACGGCACAGTTTATGTGTGCTCAGGTTGGGGTGAAACAATAGGTATTGCCTGTTCTCGCTGTGAGATGTCTCTGACCATCAGAGCACCCACTCTGGGACTCTTATGACCCTGTAGAGAAAAACAGGGATCCACCCCTGCTCTACCACTGGCAACTAAGTCTTGGATCTTGCCTGTGATATTAGCAGTAGGAATGTGATGAAGGCTTTAGCTCCTCCTATTAGACGGATGATGTCGTAATGTGCAAAGTTCATAATTATCTCCTGTCCACACTTGAAGTCTGATTTAGGTTCAAAGAAGTTCAAGGACTATCTATTGCAGAGATTTTACATAAACCTATGCTGACGCTCAAGAAATTAGTAAGCATGAAGTGTTACATAATTCTAGTAGAAAGAAAGCAATAATAAAAACCTGGGTGTCTGACCTTTATGCCTTTAGAAATGCAACTGGAACTGGCGTCTCTTAATTGCAGCTTGTTTTCCAGGTCATCAGTTTGACTTCTTGAGTATGTAATTCTCCCAGATGGTTTGGCGTCGTGGATGTCTGACATGATCTACATGTCTTCAAATGTTGCATTTTTTTCTTCAGGCTTGGCACTTCGGAAGGAATGCTGTGTGGAGTCTGAGTTGTGTAACGTTCAAGTTTGAATTGTGTCCAAATTTCAATTGTGTTATCAAGAAATGTCAAGTTTGCTCAGTGATAGCTACATCCAGACTTCCTGAAGTGTAATGGTGGAAGTAGTGTTTCAGTCTGTGGAAACTTCTGGAGAAATAGTGAATCTTTACCAGGAACAGACTGTTTAAGTATCTGTTTTTGTAGTGGACAGTATCAGGTCTTCAAGGTACTGCAGGCAGTAACTGTAAGTTTCACACAGGAGTGCAATATGTGCCTTTATCAGTGTCTGCAAAGTTGTCTGGAATCTCTTCACTCTCTTCTGTGGCTGAGATCTTAAGCTACTAATCACTTTTATTGTGCTTTGCATTTTATTGTCTTTTTTTATACCAATCTTTCCCCAGCAAGGTCAATTTTTACTGTTAATGGCATTGTGCCTCTAAAACGAGCTGTGGGAAGTGTGACCTGTATTTTTTCCTGCCTGTGCGCCACCAGTATAAATGGACTTAGTAAATTCTTCTTCGAAGTTGTGTTAGTGCTGGCACCTGTAAGACCTTTAAAGGTTCAACTTTATCTTTCTGTATGAGGTGAAATCTGAATGCTCAGTTCCAAAAATTACAGTATTCCTATGACAGTTTAGGGGGACAAAATAACAGTGAATAAACCCAAGACTTGTGTTTGTAGAAGTGTCTAGGTGTCTTTTTTCTGCTTTGTTTTTTTTATGAGGGTTATTTTTTCCTCCACTCCTTGCTCGTCTGCAAAGGTGAAGCTCTTGTAATTAAAGATTATATCCCTGTTGCAGTGCCCATGATTTGTCAGCCACATGCTATTTTTAGCTGGTTGTTTAGGATAACCTTCCCATGGCTGCTGACTCAATGTCAGTGAGTACCAGGTGGTTAGTGCATCTTCTGACAGAACCTTGCTGTGATTCTTTTTTTAAAATTAATTTCCTGTTATGAAAATGTATTTTGGTTAGTGTAACAATTCTGTTCTGAAAATAAATGCTGTCCTAGGTAACAATTATCTATCATAGTCTCTTTTTTTTTAATACTTATCTAATAATTAAAGAATAGTTAGATTCTGCAAAAGAAGACAGATAGTTGCTGTGTCCCCCTGAATGAAACAAGACCCAGAAACAAAAAAACCCAACCAAATGAAAACCTCAGTAAAATATATTGACTCATAACGTATTTTTAACCAGGCTCCAAACTGATGGAGGCAGAGTGCTTTGTATGTTGGCTAATTGATTGCACAGGCTTTGATTGATGGGATGCAATTTGGTTGAGCATCAGCTGCAATTGTAAGCTGTAGGAGCACGGCTGAAATGATTCATGTGCAGCAGCAGGATCTCCAGACTGAATTAGAGGCTTGTATTGACTGTGGCGCTGTGCATTATTTAAAGGATTGGTTCTCTGCCATTGAGTGTCTGAAGCAATTAACTGCTTCTCTCTGCTGAACAATCGCTTCCTTTTCTTGTGAGTTCCTACATATCAATAGTGACTTTTAGGATAGTATCTTTATTTTGGAGGCAAGACAAATAAAAACCAGTCCTTTTTTTTTTTTTTTAATTCTCATTGTTGTGATTTTTTTCCCCTTCATATAAAGTAAAAGAGTATTGAGAATACATTGGCTTCTGAATGTTTTTATATTCTTCTAGGAAATAATGGAAGAACTCTGAAAGGGTGTGAAAAAAATATTTATGTTTAATTTGTTTTCCATCCACCCCATAAGGTTCAGCAATCTACAGACCAGGTTGGCCCGGATGCAGTGGTATTGCTTGTTTAAACAAAAAAAGCTAAACCATACCCTTACTGAGCTGAGGGCTTTAGAGTTTTCTGACTCTGAGGCTTTAGGGCTTTCTGACCTTAAATTGAGTTGTGCTTGGTTTCAGCAACACCCCAAAGGAATCACTCTCTAGCTGGCAGGGAGCTGTCATTCCTCCAGTGTGGTATCAGTCCAAGCCCAGCCTGGACTCCTGCAGTGCTGTGCTGGTTGGCAGAGCCCTGGTGCAGGGGACAGCAGAAATGATGCCCCTCTGCAGAAACATCTAGGAACCACATGGCCCACATGGGTTTTTCCAAGTATTTTTCCCAGAGACAGTTTGCTGTCACAGTGAGGGAGCTTCAGAATCTCACCCCATTGGTCCAGGCCAGGGAAGCTTGTTGCACCTCAGTAATGAAAACTACTTTCCTCCAGTGACGTTGCTACCTCATTTCTTCATAAGTTAATGAGCTTGTAGTTTTAATTAGAAGGGTATCCAGAAGTGCAAGTCAGTAATTCAAGTCTACTTTTCATGTGGGGAGCATGAGAGTTTCAAGAGCTATTGAAAACTGCTTCATTGAAGGATGGTGTTCAGAAATCAACACATCCGCCTCTGTTCCCTCATTCTGTTGATTTTTAGGAGTTTCTTACGTGTTGTTTTTCAAGATAACTTGGCTAACCCTTTCTGCAAGGGAAGAAGACTTGGGAGGCAAGACAGCTGGGGTGGCTTTTGTGAAGAGTGAAGAGGTGGGTTGAGGAATGATGGAAGGAACTGAGGGGTGAACTTGGAAGAGGGAATGAGTCAGTGATGCCATTTTAGCAAAATTACTGAAAATTACATATGGCATCTCAGACACATACTGCCATGGTCCAGCTACCTGCATGTTCCAGGAAGCAGGGGTTATGGGATACAAGATCCAGGCCTGTTCACAAATCTTACTTCTACAAAGGGGTAGAAGTTTCCAGGGGTACTGAGAATCTCTGAGGCCTTATTTGCAGTGTGTCCCGAGTGTGAGAGGTGGTGGAGTTGCAGGGAGACAAGTAACTGAGAAATGTAGTTTTGTTTTTCAGGCTGGCAGCCTCGGTGGTTTCTCCTCTGTGGTGGCATCCTGTCCTATTATGACTCTCAGGAAGATGCCTGGAAGGGTTGTAAGGGAAGCATCCAAATGGCTGTTTGTGAAATTCAAGGTAACTAATATACAGTAGCACTCAGCTGCATGAAATTCGTCTAATAATGTTGCATTCAAGATGAGATTTCAGGTGACAAGAGCTATTGGGCAGCTTGGTTTCATTGGTATATATTTGTGGGAACTCTGTAACTTGTTCTATATGCCAGTTTTTATTCCATAGTATTTTGAAAATGTTGAGAGAGCTGCAAGCCTCAAATGTTATGGGTATTCTACATGCAGGTGGGTCACTGTTTTTCATGAGCTGGAGTGGAACATTGAACAGGTTCAAATCACTCCTCCTAAGCACAAAGCTGAAGCTAGAAATGTTAATAATAAACTTCAGTACTAGGTCTGCTCATTCATATTGGATTACTTGCCACATCTTTGAGGTTCAGTTGCGTGCTGGAAACCTGAAAGAGAGGCTTGACAGAAGAGGATGCCCTTTCCGTAAAAACTCCCAGGTGATACTGATCACAAAACTGTCTTTCATAGCCTTTTGTCACACTGCAGTACACATGTGTGTCGTGTCCATTCCCTTACTCAGAAGAGAAGTCATACAATGGTAGCAGGGGAATAATGGGCTGTAGGTTCCTCCTCTTTCACTACTATTTGACCTACCACCTAACATACCTGTTGGGATATTTTGTTGGGCTGGGAAGGACCGAGGGTCTGAAATCTGTTGCTTTCAGTTCATCCTGCAGATAACACACGAATGGACCTGATTATCCCAGGGGAACAATACTTCTATCTGAAGGCAAGAAATGCAGTTGAAAGGCAAAAGTGGCTGGTTGCACTAGGAACTGCCAAAGCCTGTCTGACTGACAGCAGGACACAGAAGGAAAAAGGCAAGAAGGCTCTTTTGGTGGCACATGCTGTTTGCTTTATATTTCCTCATCCTTGCCCTAGTATATGTACGCAGAAATGTATTAATGGGAGCATTAGCTAGAAATCTCAGGTGTTAACTCTCAGGACAGGAATTTGAAAACTTTGGCTTTTTCTTAAAATGTACTATGTATAAATCATGTGAAAACTGTGTGCTGGTGGATTCTGTAAGTACAATAAGTAAGTAGCTTCTGACCATGGGTCACTGGATGCAAACTGTACAAGAATGTAAAACCTTGTTCAGCAGTTGAAATATAATGACCCAGCCTCTCATACCAGTGTCTCTTGAGCTTTGAAGCTCCTCAGACCCTTTGCTTTCATGTTCTAACTGGGCTGCCTTATGCAGTTCAAAAACCCCTTCGCAGTTAGGAAAAGGTTTGCACTTGGTTCCAAATGTGTGTACTCGTATTCAGAAACTTAAATTTGACCGTCTGGTAAGACTATGAAAATTAATTCACTTCCCTCTTTGCTTTCACCAGCAATCTCACTTTCACCCCAGTGAAAACCCCTGTTCCTTACAAGCATGGCATTATTCATGGTCAGTGTGAGACCTCATACCTTAGCCATGTGTAACCTCGGCACACTGACTGCACAAAAGATGGGAAACAAGCAAATTATTGTTAATGTCCTGAGCAAATGCAGGGGGTGGTGAGCACTTCCTTCCGCTGAGGTGAGGAACTGCTTCTCCTCCTTAGCCTTATGTGCATCTTCATCAGGCTTTGCATCTGCTGGTTCAAACTGAATCAGAACTGAGTAGAAGATTCTGCCGTAGGGTCCTACACAAAGTGGGGATCCGATGCACAGTGCATAAAAGCATTAAAAGGTTGTATCTATAAGCTGACATACAGTAGCATGTGGTATAAAGCTACTGATGTATTTGCAGAGCTAAACCACATTAGTCTTATTAACAGACAATTTATTTTGTATATCTGGGACTCTAATGTAAAAAAAAAACCTTCAGAAAAATCTCAGATTAACTGTTAGTCTTATCTGGATTAGTCTGCTCAGGTCTGCACTGTCCAGTGCAGGAAACATATGGCTATACTGGAGTGAGTCCAGCAGAGGGCCACTAAGATGATTAAAGGCATATCTGGTGGGAGAGGATAAAAAAGATGGAGCCAGAGTCTTCTCAGTGAGTGAACAAGAGGATAGATTTTAATACAAACGACTCTATTGAGACATAAGCAAAAATGCAGATATTGTGAGGATGAGGGAGCACTGAAAGGTTGCACAGAGAGATTGTGGAGTCTCCATCCTTGGCAATGCTCTAAACCTGAGTAGATGTGACCCTCAGTAACTTGCTCTGTTTGACTGCTTCAAACAGGGGAGAAGGACTAGCTGGTCTCCAGAAGTCTCTTCCAACTTCATCTATGATTCAAGTGTGTGTTTGTGTATATATAGATATATATATATAAGTAGTCCCTTTGTGTTGGACAGGATGCATCTTCTACGTCCAGTGTTTTCTACCTACAACCCTATATAAACAGTGATATTGCTTGGACCTTAAACTGCTTTGTGAAAACAAAAGTTATATATAGCGGGTTTGTGCTGTTTAAAAGGCCCACTAAGGTCAAATGCTGTATACTTGCTTGACATCAAATGCAATAAATTTAACTCGTCTTTTGTTTCACTTTTAGAGTTCACTGAAAACACAGAAGCCTTGAAGACTAAAATGTCTGAACTTAGACTGTACTGTAACCTCCTTGTTCAGCAAGTGCATAAAACGAAGGAAGCCAGCATTTCTGGTGTATCAGAACCAGAGGTACAGCTCTATTTTTGGTGCAGACCACATCTGTAAAGTCTTGAGCATTGTGAACTTTTCTGGTTAGCCAGTGTAGTATTCACTCACAGTTACTTAATGTTGCAACCTCTTTCTGCGGAGATCCTGTGGGAAATAATGTACTCACACAACTGTTCGTGTTTAAATGGAGTAACACTCCGTTGTTGCAAATAACTTGCCCAGAGTTGGGCTAGTGAGTAGTGAAATGAGGTCTGGTATCTGGCATCTAGGCAATAGCATCTCTGTAGATGATCGTGTGTATAATGGATCAAAAAAAAGAAAAATATATTTTGTAAAAAGATAACCTGCAAGAAGCGCACATTTTTCTGCCCCCGAGTCTAAAATCCTGCTCAGCAGCACAACCAAAAGCATTAGAAGGTCAAGAGATGATGCACACCACAAAAGAAACAAAAGTGGTATAAAGAACTACCTGATTAGCCTCACTCAAGTTACAGTTTCAAACCTTTTAAATCCTCCTGACCAAAGAAACCTCATTTAAGAGGGGTCTTCTAGTGACAGCGACCTACCCCTTGCTTTGAGAGAGAAATGTGTGAAGAGGGATGTACTTCACTTGCTAGAGAAGTTGGTGTGGAGTTCCAGGATGCCTCTCACTGGACAGATGGGTCCCTGGGTGCAGAACAGGCAGGGAAAACACCTGAAAGTTAATCATTTGATGTCCAAACAATCTCTGTAAAGATACTTGAAAAGCTGTTTCTGGTGAATTAAAAGACGGTACAGAAGCATGATGTGGTTTACAAATGACTAAGAAGCACTGTTAGAACTTGCAGTTCACAGGTGTTGACCTGTAACGTAGTGTTTATCCAGCTTGTATTTCATGCATCTGGGGGAAAACTCTCTTTCCTACTGGCATTTAACTGGAAAGATTTATTGCTAAAAGCATTTCAGCATCAATAACTGCACTTCACAGAGATGAAGAGTATTGTGGCGATGTGATACTTCATTCTACCCTTTTTTAAATTGCAGTAATTTTTTGTTCATGGGATTTTTGAGATTATTATCTACATCTACTCTGTATCTATTTAATTTGTTTACTTTTCATTTTTCCTGTCAGTGATGTTTCTTGGAATGCCATTGTTGAATGCATACAGGCTTAGCATTTCATACCCTTCTAACACCAATATGATAAGTAACTAATTGCTTTTAAAACACAAACATACTGAGCTTGTTGTACTGAGAGGCAGACAAGTGGTAGTGCCCCAGTAATATGTGATGCCAGTTCTCTAAGCAGCTGACACATTGAATTTTAATTCACGTTAGGCAGAAATCGTGACTGTAGCAGCTGTGGGCTTTGTAGATATTGATTGCTCCAAACTAATTTTATGTGGTAAGTCCATTTCTTCCAATTGATTTTTTCTCACAGAATGAGATTGATATGGGAGCTCTGTTAAAATCAACCTGTGACACCTTCCTGAAGACTCTTGAAGAATGTATGCAGATTGCAAATACTGCCTTCACTTCTGAGTTACTGCATCAGACCCCACCCGGATCCCCAAATTTAGCAGTTCTCAGAACAAGCAAGGTAATGGCCAGTATCTTCTTCCCTCAGCTTTGACAGGGATGCTAAGGTATCCTTTTCTAAAGTAGCGTTTGTAGAAGTAGGGAATGTGTTAGGGAATGTGATAGCTAGTAGTCCTACACTGGACATACTTTGCCATTTCTTATGGTTTTCGAGCAACGTAGGGCCATTTTTAATAAGCAGTGACTTATTTCTTAACCTTTAACAATAGGTGAAAGTTATTAAACATTAACTTTCAGGGTCTGCAGTTCCAGGTGCAGGCAGTGATGTTTCAAAGTACCTTGGCTTACTATGGCAAGTTCATCCATTGTGGAAGCTCACAGGAGTTATAACTCTGCTAAGCTACTGCAGCATCAGACCTATGGTAATACACCAATGGGAGCTGATGAGCTTATCTCTTTAATGACAAGGGCACTTTCTTGAATCCTGGATCCATAAGTACATGCACAAAACTGGAGCATCTCTGGCAAAATGGAGGTTGAAGTCTGTGTAGGAAGGTAGATGGATGACTGCACCTGAGAAATTATTACTTCACCATATCTGTTATCTGACCTCACGTTTTTCTGTTTTTTCATAATTTTTTTTAAGTAAGGAAAACACTGCGAAGGAAACTCACTGCTTTGTTTCTTTTCCATGTGCTATATAGTGTCTCACTTGACACTTTCTAGCCAGCTTCTGAAAGAAATCTTCTGACTTACTTTCTTCTCCTTTTTCTTTTTTTTCTTTGCAATATTGCAATAGTGTAATAATATAGCACCTTTTTCACTTCTGTCTGTATATAGTCTCCAGGTCAGAGAGTTAGTGAGGGGTTTTTTTCTGACTCCAACTTGTGTTTAGTAAAATGTGACGTTTGAGATGCATGATACAGTCTTCTTTCTGTAAAGAATATTCTCCCCCCTCCATATCTTTCAGGTAAAGCACTCTGTCTTGTCCAGTCACACCTCAACAGAAAGGTACAATAAAAGTCTTTACTGTCGATCTCTTTCTAATCTGTTTTTGGTAGTGTCTGTTCTTTCCTTTTTTTGCTCTACTCTTACTTAGTACTGTATGCAGGCAGAATTGTATCACTCTGAACTGCATACTTGGAACCAGAGGCAACAAAAGTGATTTGGCTCACCCACTTCATGTCTCCCTATCCAATCCCACTCCATATCCACCCTTTCCCTTTTATTTTTCTCAGCAGTCCACTTGGTTAACTCACAGGTCAATCACCACCCAGCTCTCTCCTGCTTCAGTGCTCATTCCTGCATTTTTGGTTCCACCCCATAAGTTCATAAAATCATTGATGGTGAGCAGACTGTGATTTGTGGAGTAGGTGGCAAGGATATATATCTTGAAGTACTAATGAGGGGATATTCTGTTAGTTACAATACCTGCCTATGATTTTGATTTTTGTAATTGTATTTTTTTTTATTATGTATCTTTTCAATAAAGGTCATTGTAAATATATTTGAACTCTGCAAGCTGAGGCTGAGTTGTTAATCCTCCTTGCTGCAAAGAGCTGCGTGGTTCTTTGCGTTATTTTAGACAAGTTCTTTTGCTCAGAGCAGCCTGTGACAGCCTGTAATTTCTGTCAGCTAGTTTTCTCTTATTGTTATTTGTGTGTATTTGCAGGAAGAGGCTTACCAAGCAATGCTTTATACACTAACTATTATTCTTTCCCTTTCTTCAGGCAGATGGAATTGAACCCCTGTGAAAATGGCTGTGTGAAAGCAGAAATTAACCATCAAGAGCAATCACTTATTAAAAGTCTGGAATGTTTAAACTTGGAAACAAGTGAGGGGAGCGGTGATGTTTCTGTTGAAGATCACATAGCAGAGGATTTGGCAGGTAATTATATGCACTGTCTCTTATCTGGGATCATTACTCTGTAAGTGTAAATGAAGGGACGTGTAGATTGCCTGTGAGAATGCCAGTCCCTTGCTTCCACAGAGAGGGAATATCAGTCTTTGTCAGTCTGGTATCTGCCCTCTGTGAGTCTTCTCAGCATAGCTCCTGCTGCCCTTGTTGATGACTAACTTGGGACTGAATGGGGAAGGAAATTAAAAATTCTTTTTTGGACAGGCTGAGGCCCTCCAGATGCTGATTGACCTGCAAAACAATACAGCCTGGCAGAGCTTGGGCTCTTCTTGCATTGTGGACAGACACATGATTCCCAGAGGCCTTCCTCTGGGAATACTAGCACCTCTGCTAGTATGTAGAACTGTAGTGTCAGAAGCAGGACATTGAAGCTTTGTGTGCCTGTCTAGGAGGGCTTGAACTTGTAGTTACTCTTGATTGCTCTGACAAATCTTTACAGAAAATTAACTCTTTTTGTGCAACTGAGAATGTACAAGGAAGCATCTTATTTCTTCCATTACCTTAGCAATAGCAAACTTAAATTTGTGCATGACTTCAATAAAATACTCTTGAACTAATTCAGTAATCTGGATAAGTCTATTTAAGTAACATATGATTTCTGCTCAGCCTGTTGAGTGGAGTGTACTGTTCTTGAGCAGTAGCTTTCTCTGCCTGGCTGTTATTCCAAAACATACATATGCAGTCAGTGAGTCAGCTGAAGTTTTTAAGCCCAAATTAATGACCATACTGATTTTGCTCTTATAAGGATTCTCTTTGGAGTTTTTCCCATTTCCATGGCTGGTATTATGTAGTGTGGCAGGTTCCTGCAGAATAACATGCGTGTGTTACCATTTAGCATAATACTTCAAGAAAACAGTGCTAAAGCAAGGAGATCAAACTAATTCAAGTCAGATTGTTGGTGTCATTTTAGCTACTGTGGTTCCTATCCAGAAAAGAGAAAAAACTACCTCCTCTTGTGCACGCACATGTGAGTTGCAGGGTTTTACTGGCAGTACAGAGTGGAGTTAGGATGTGCAGTGCTATCCATATGGGGTGGGCTGACCCAGCCAGCCCAAGGGCCTTGTGGCTGTATCTGGGTGCTCCTGGTGAGCCCAGGAGCTCTGCCCTAGGCTCAGATGCTTTTCCCACCTCTCTCCCCTTTATTAAGAGCAGTCAGTCTTTAAAAGTGCTCAAGCACTTAAGTCCTGTAACAAATTTTTGTATGTCATTTAGGGCTTACAGTGTTAGAGTTTGAAATTGTGGAGGATGCCAGGCTTTTTGCATAAGCACTCCTGTGGTGTCACTGTGGACTTGGGCTCTTTCTCTACTCACCAGCTTGTGTGTCTTGGTGAAGGACAGGTCAGTGACATCACTCAAATTCTAGTTCCTTAGGAAAGACACTTGGATTGTTAATGTCAGCGATGTCTGAGGCCACTTTTATTCTTCCCTGAGGACAATGACTCAAATCTCATTGCTGTTACTGGTGTGAGTGGTTCTTTTTTCATGCAGCACCAGGCTCCCTGCAGCAGCAGGGACTGCTGCAAGCGTGCTTGCAGGTGTCACTTGAAGGAAGAGAGTTCCTCGCAGTTTGATCCCTTCAGCCAGAAACTCAGTGCCGCTTCAGATCTCTCTCTAAACCTTACTGACACTTGAAAATATTTCTTTCCTGGAGAAAGAGATTTTCCTGGGAATTCTTGGATGCTAGTTTGACAGTCTTCCAGCAAGATGTGCTGTTGCCATAGCTTGTATGCTGCAGATGCTGTGAATGTATTGGTTTTGCTTCTTGAATTGTTCTCTGAAGTTCTCTGTGAGGTCAGAAGGTCTTACCACGTATGGGATGTATAAGAAAGATTTTGTCTTCCTTTGGAAGTGCTGTATGTATTTGAAACAGATGTACTTGACCCCAAAGAAGAAATAAAGTAGGTCACAGCAGGGAAAAGGCACGTGGATCTTTTTCTGGGAAACTTTAAAGATATTCGTAGAAATGGAGGAGAACATGGCACTCTTTGATATCATACCAGTGTCCATCTAAGCAACCAGTTTGCTAACTTATCAAAAGGAGCAAGCAAGTCACTATTATTCTTTTGCTTTTGAAAATGCACTGTGCCATTTTAACAGTACTGGGAAAGTTACAGCCATGTAAGAGGTAGTCTTCCTTTCAAGGAGATGAGCCTGCTCCCTGCTGCACCGTCACTTCTTCAACGCTCTTCTCTCATAAGGCTGTCCTTGCTGAGGTTATGTGGGCTCACCTGCATTGGTGCCTGGTGCTTGGTCTGTCTGATTAAAAGAAACTAGGAGGGAAATGTTTGAAATGTTGTCTGAGCACCCAGAGTCATGGTGCTGGCAGGGAAGCTTTTTAAACTGAATGATGCAGATATTCAAGTGCCTTCCTTCAAATAGGAAGGCATCTTGAAGAATGGGAATGGCAATATGGGTGTGTAACTGTTTTGGTTTTCTGTTTTTCTTCTGTTTCCTGTAAATGTTAGGCATTAAAGAAGATGGAGAGGACAAGCTGCAAGGTGTAGAAAGCTGTGCTGCCCACAAGTTGTTGCAGTCAGAAACAAATTCTTTAAGTGGATTGACTCCGTGTGTGGAAGACAGAAATGAAAATGATTCTCCAACCTTCTTCAGTGTCATGAGCAATAGGTAGTACAGATTTCAATTAAAAGGATTATCGAAACTTTGTTAATTGACTTATTTTTAAGACTGAATAAAACAGAAGTCTTTAGATGACTTATTTTTAAGACTTTTCTGTCTGTAAAGCTGTATTAACTGAGATTATTTAACAAGACTGCTCACAGCATAGTAATTAGAAGAAGATACCTTTTGTAAAATTAGCCGTATAGGATGAAGTGGGAGGTTTTTCTTTGTTTGTAATTGCAGGCCTTGCTTGCACACCACGAAATGTGTATTTTCTGCAGTCAGTTACTTTAACATAGTGAAACAAAAGCTATATTGGTGGTTTCATGTCTGTAAATTTTACCTCTATGCAAATGACGTGGACAGGAAATGTAATTTTGGCATTAGAAATTATACAAAAGGAATTGTTAAGGTTAAGTCTTTTCTGCTTATCCTTAACACCAGGTTCAGTGATATTGAACTTCGGGAGGAGGAGGGCATACCCACAGAAGAGTTTCTGGAGTCATGTTATGCAATTGTGCCTGTTCTGGGTAAGCAGCTTCTCTTGTCCTTTTGAGTGCTGCCAACTGTGAAAAAAGGTGGAGCAGTTAGTTTAGAAAATTAATTTTTTCACTCAAGTGATATAGTAGAAACATTACCAGCAGAATCAATTTGACTGGTACCAGAAGATATTTCTTACTCCTTGTCTTTAAAGAGAATCCACTCTCATTTAGGTGGGACACACATATAAGCAGTTTGGAAATCCGTGATCTATCTGGAACAGCAATTTCTTCCCCTCAAAGGAGCAGCATAGATACCTTAAACATCCAATACAGCTACCACCACACCATCAACTGTAGTCTATTTGATTTTTCCAACGACTTCTATCCCTAGCTAGTGCAGCCCCCTAACTGCATCTAACAGTGGATGTGAGGTCCTTTTGAGCGTGCTCCCTTTTGAAGACTTCCAGCCTGTAGGTCAGAGTATTTTAATGCTTGTACGTACTGAGGTGGATTGGTTGTACACCAAAGAAAAACTTGAGTTTGTATCATTCATTTAGTATTCTCAGGCTATTTAAAGGATTGTTAAGAGAGTAAATGAAATTAATTGTTACTAAAACATGAGGACTGGAAAAAGACACAATTTTAAAATACGGTCTTTTGGGTTTTTTTCTAGACAAGCTGGGACCAACTGTTTTTGCGCCTGTTAAAATGGATTTTGTAGGCAACATCAAGGTAACAGCTTATTTCTAGCACTGGTTTTTGGTTTTTAAGCAAAATATCTATTTTAGGCACTAAAGCTCAAAAATACGTGATAGGAGTCAGTAGTGGTTGGCTATTTAATATTTTATAATGTTTTCATCTGTCAGATCAGAACACTGAAATGCCCCTAATCCTGTTCTTACAGTACATGCTATATTTAGTAAATCCAGTTGTGTGCAAACTTACGAAAATACTTGTTTGACTGCCAAGTAAAACATCTGTTACACCTAATTAATATGACTTTGATTCTGAGCTGAACAGGTTTGTGATGTTAGCAGTGTTGACTTTAAGCTGTAACACAAATGGAGGGGAAAAAAAACCCCTTTGTTCAACCAAGTAGGAGGAAGTTAATTCATTAAGAAGCAGTTTCTTAGCAGGTTGGGGCAGACCCTGCAGTCTTGGTTCTTGTTCTGGAAGTTCTTCCAGCTTCAAGAACCTTCTGCAAAGGTTTGAAATACTTGTTATGAGACAAAATAGTGAGATTTTTCATAGCTTTTCTTTCAAATAAAAAAAAAAAAAAAAGAAAAACATATCTTCTGAGTGTATGATCAGGAACACTGTATATAATCAGATTTGTTTGGTGCCAGGTAAGAAAGATATTTGGTTATCTTCGAGAACATAGCCACTGAAACACTGAAAATAGCAAGGGAGAGGAATCATATTTAAACAACTAAAACATTGAATATTTACTGTGAAGTGATAGCTGCTCCTTTAATGTAGAAGTCTGTTTATCTGCCCCTTATATATTGTTTCTTTTGTTTTTATGAGGAGTTGTGTGTAAAAAACTTAGAAATAAATTGAAAACATAAGCGTGCCATTGACTGCTAAGTATAATTGAGAATTTGCAGCTAAGCAGTTGTCAGAAGGTAATCTTGCTGGTAGTTGAAGCTCAGGGCAAGTACTTGGAGAGCATACTGAGTTAACTCCTTTCCACCAGTGTGGAGGGTGTCATGTGAATCTGAAGCATTTTGTTGGACAGAAATGGTAGGTGCCATGTAAATTTTTGACTGAGATGCTTTATTTTGCTTGTGTTAGCCAGATGGATGACCAGATGTGTCTGGAGTGGTGCCCTGGGCCAGCGTGCCCACCTTGGCAGCACAGCCATGCCATGGGGAGTATGTGACATGCTTGTAAATCTGTAGTATCTCTTAGCAGGAAAGAGTCCTGGTAAATGGGTGGTATTTATAGGATAGGCCCCTGTTTGGTCTTAAAAGCCTGAAGCTTTTACCCATTGTATTTTCTCCAGAAAATAAACCAGAAGTTTATAACCAACAAAGAAGAGTTTGATACCCTTCAGAAGATTGTGCTCCATGAGGTGAACGCAGGTGTAGCACAAGTTAGAAACTCTGCTACAGAGGCTCTCCTGTGGCTGAAAAGGTAATGACCTCATATCTGCATACATTATGAACTGCTAGGGTGCAATGAGGGGTCTTTCACCACTGCAAGCTTGTGTACATGGAGCAAACTGATGACTTTCCACAGGCTTTATCAATCCAAACTGTCCAGGTTCAAGATTAATGTGTTGTCTGTGGTTGTATCACTGCAACTTTGCCAAAAGGCCTGAAAAAGCAATTCCAGGACACTCTTTTATCTCCCCATGCAAGTGAACTTAAAGTGAATGACTAATTCTTCTGGGCCAGAGCATCAGGCAGATGATTTCAAGCTGCAGCAGAAGTGTTTAGCCAAGCGTTTTTCCCTTGGACTCGGAGAGAGGCTCGAGGAGGTGGCTGCATTTTTTTGTTCAGATTGAAAATAACTCCTTTATTCTGAGTTTTATTGCGCTTCTGAGTTGTATTGCAACTTTGGGGGCTTTGTTACACTCTGGGTTACTTTGTTATAAACATGGTTTCTTTTTATTTCATGGATTCATCCCGGCAGAGGCTTAAAGTTCTTGAAAGGGTTTTTGACAGAAGTGAAGAATGGAGAAAAGAATATCCAAACAGCTCTAAGTAAGTGCCAGTTACTTTATTCTTCATGTACTTCTGAAATTACATACTTGTCTACTTTTCTCCTCATTTAGAACCTGTGTTTTCTTCAGTGACTAGCGATGAAAGTAGTCTCTAGGACCTAACATTTTTGAAAGACCATTTTTTTTTTAAGTGGCTGCCTTGGGGTGGGTTACTAGATAAGTGGTCAACATTGATTTTTTTAGCAGATAAAGATTCCTGTAACTGGCATATTTTTGACAGAGAAGACAGTCATATCTTAGGGAAGCAAGAACTTTCTCTCATTCCACTTTCTCTACTAGTTTGCAGTGAGAGTGCTCCCAAATTTATAATTGCTGTTTTGTTAGTTTTTTAGTTTCATGTGAGATTGGCAATCACTCTTTGAAGTCACCTCTTTGCCAGTATGGCTGTGAATTGCCAGCATCCATTAGAAGGAAGTTTGTAACAGAGAAGAAGGAATTTTTTCAAGTGCTCAACTTCTGACACTTACCGGGACAGGCTAGTGGCCACAGCAAGTACAAAACAAAGTATAAACCTCTCTTAGACTTGACTTGGTTATTCCTGAGTAAGGCCCTCTCTACATGCATGAAGTCTAATGTTATAATAATCCTTTAAAACAGCTTTGAAACAGCTTTTTTAAAGCTTTTTATTTTAGGTTCTTTTGAACAGCTAATCAGTCACTCTATAGGATTAGTAAAATTAACTACTACACTAAAGTATGTAGCAGCTCTAGGAAGTGGGATTGTAAATACACTGCTACCAGATGTGGGTGTGAAACACCATGGAAAGTCAAGGCATTTATTTGACCTTCTGAGTCTGAAGGCTTCAGCACTGAATTACTCCTTGAATTGCTCAGTGTCTGCAGCAGAGCCATGCTGCTGGGTTTTTTTTCACTTATTCATTCCCTTTCTTCCCCTGAAAAGTTCTTCCATATTTGTATCACCAGTGTATCTTTGGTTTACTGTTGGAGTTTCACCCTGTAGAGTATTTTCTCAGACTTCACATTTGCCTTCCTGTCTGTTGGAACACTTTCTTGCCGTGGATGGGTTGGAAGGAGATTTGACAACCGAGCTGAGACCCCAGTGCAGAAATCCCAAATCTGTCATCTCCTTTCAGTCATAACTTCAGTACTCTGAGACAGCCATTATTTACATCCAGTGGCAAGAATATACCCTTAAATAGTCATTTCTAAGCTCTGAGTTCTCCTTGTGATGAAGACTTAAAACTGCCATACGTCTGTCTCTTGATTTATAATTTTTTTTTTTCTTTTAGACAATGCTTATGGAAAGACACTACGGCAGCACCATGGTTGGGTTGTCCGAGGAGTCTTTGCGGTGAGTATTTATCTTGGTCACTGATAGAGCTGGGGGTCTTGTTCATGTGATCGTATGTTGTGTAATTAATAAACTATATTCAAATTCTAAGCATTAAAATTATTATATTCCTTTGCCAGCACCTTATTTTCAAGGTGAGGACTGTGGTTATCACTGTTTGGTATGAGACTTTAAGGGTGGAACCTGCTTTCTGGAGATCAAACAGACAGATTGCACTTGCATGCACGCTTTTTTATTATGTGTTTTTAAGCACAGTCTTGCAGGGCTATTAAAGGAAGAAATGAAGATTTGAGATTGCTTTTTTTAAGACTGATCTGTCTTTGAATATGAGCATTCAAGAAGGGTTAGTGCAGAACGTGTGGGGAGTTGAAGTAGGATATATTGGCTACAGAAAATTTTTCGTCCAGTCTGGCAGCTCCCCCTTGTGTTTGTCACTGGAAAATTATCACTGAAATTGCAAAAGGAAAAAGGAAAACCTCATCCAGGCAATAATGACTTTGACTAGGAGAAACAGAAATGCTGGGGAAAGCTTTCTAAAGACCCATTTTGAGATTTCAATGCTGAAGTGTGTGACACTGGGTTGGGAGCTCCCTTAACAAAGTGTACTTCATTTGGGGTTTGTATTTAATGAAATTTCTAATGTATGCTATTTATTTGTACAAAGCAGGATACACAGACACTTTGTAAAAATTCAGACCTCTCTGAAAATGTCTTAAACTGGGGTTCTACACAAACTAATAACAAGTAAAAATAAAATAACCTCCCCTCTAGTTAAAATTCTTAACATATGCACGTACACAGTAATTAAATTAATGCTATGCAGTTTTAAGTGCAAAGAAGGAGGTCTTAGAAGTTTTTTGTAGCTTAGTTGTGTTTCTATTCCTGTTCTGTTTTGCAAATCTAAAAGCTTTGGTTCCTCTCCCAGTTGGCTTTAAGGGCAGCTCCAACGTATGAAGATTTTGTGGCAGCTCTGTCTGTGGAGGAGTGTGATCCTCAGGAAGAAACATTTTACAAAGGAATGCAGAGGGACCTCAACATTTACTTACCAGCCATGGAAAAGCAGCTAAATATCTTGGACACTCTCTATGAAGTACATGGTTTGGAATCAGATGAGGTGGTATGACTACAGCAAGACCACATCTTAAAAATTCAGGGACTGTGTCTGTTAACAAAGATTTCTTCCATTTTGTTTTTTTTGGACATCATTTCTGTTCATTGTGTCTTTTCAGGTGGGAAGGGTGTTGTGATTGTTTTTGAGGAAGATTATGTATGATTTTTAGTTTTTTTATGCTTGTTTTGCATTTAGGTGCAGAGGTACTGTTTCTCTTTGGGTCATAGCTATGTCTGTGATGAATGTTTTTGACTGTTTCTCTTCTGCCTGTGCACTTCCTCTTCTCTTCACCTCATAAAAGTAACAGAGCAGAATTTGGCCTTTGCTCATGTACCTTAGGAGAGATCTACATGTGCAGCAGAGCTGTTGTGTGCTGTCAGCACAGCACCCAGGCAGGCGCTGCTGGCTCTTCCTCTCCCACTCCCTGTGCCCGCTCCCTGCTATGCTGTAGGAGGGCAGGGGTATAGTGAGAGTTATTGTTACCCTGGTAGCACAAGAGGAGGGCAGCTGAACACCAGGTTATAATGCAGTGAGTTTGTCCCTTAATTTGGGTTGAAGCTTTTTAATGCAAATACTTAATGTATTTGCGTTACATAAATATTTATTAAATGAAATACTTTAATCCATGTGTTACAGACATCTTCACCACAGGTGTGTGTGGCTGGTGGTCTGAGCAGCCCCAGAAACCAGCCTTTGAATCAGGGTGTTGTGTTCCCTGACCAGCTCCCAGTGTGTGCCATGGTTTCCCTGTCAGCTCCTGCCAGTGGACCACAAGAAATTTGCTGGCACAGACTGACAGAGAGCCCAGCTAATTTCAACAGTGCTTTATATAAGTGTTTGAAGATGATGACCAATCATCCTGGCTTATTAAGGTTTTGGTGAGTTTTTCTGTTTTGGGTTTTAGTGGTCTCTTAAATCAAATTCACACAAAGCCAGAATATTTGCTTTTAAATTGAATACAACTAGCAATCTAAAAAGCAGATATCATTAAAATCCTACCTACATTGCCAATATGGGCAGAAACTTCATGAAAGTGGATGTGAAATGAAGAAAGTAGGGAAGCTAGAATTTGTGATGGAGCTATTATTACACACTGGACCAATTACAAATCTTGAATTTTGAAATTACTTAGAGTTGACTGAAAATAAGAAAGTAAGATTTGCCCTTTTTTCCATTTTGCTGATATAGATAAAAATGTGCTCCTTAGCATTGCTGCTATTAAGAATAATAAAGAAGTCCTTTTAGCTAGTGATATGGTTAAGGACTGTGCTAATGAGGTATTTAGAATTAGTAAGTCTTCATAAATACAGAAGTCAGTGTTGCCATGCTCACAGAAGTAATACTGGCTTTTGCTATGCTAAAAACCATGTTGTCAGTAAAATGAATGTATTGCAGACCTGCTGCCCTGCATTGCTCTGTGACAGGAGCCTCTCTCCACACTGAATACTTGATCTTTTCTAAAGAACCTAGCATTGTGAGCTTTAAGAAAAGCATATGATACTTGAAGAAAAGGTCAACATCACACTTGTATAAAGAAAGATACCAGGACTCTAATTAGGCATTTTATAGAATCATACAATATCCTGAGTTGAAAGGGACCCATTAGTGAGTCCAACTCCTGACCCTGCACAAGGCACCCCAAGAATCACACCATGTGCCTGAGAGTGTTGTCCAAATGCTTCTTGAACTCAAACAGGCTTGGTGCTGTGACCACTTCCCTGGGGAGCCTGTTCCAGTGCTCAACCACCCTTTGGGTGAAAAACTTTTTCCTGTGATATCTAACCTAAACCTCCCCCAAGTCAGCTTCAAGCTATTTCCTCAACTCCTGTCACTGGTCACAAAAGTAAAGAGATCAGTGCCTGCCCCTCCACTTACCCTCGTGAGGATTGTGAAGATTGCAGTGAGGTCTCTATCGAGTCTCCTTCAGGCTGAACACACCAAGTGACCTCAGCCACTCCTCATGCAGCTTCCCCTTCAGACTCTTCTCCCTCCTGTTGCCCTCCTTAGGACATTCTTCAATAGCTCAATATCTTTCTTACATTGTGGTGCCCAAAACTGCACACAATATTCAAGGTAAGACCGCCCCGGTGCAGAGCAGAGCGGGACAATCCCCTCCCTTGACCAGCTGGCGATGCTTTGTCTGATGCCCCCCAGAACACGGTTTGCCCTCCTGGCTGCCAGGACACTGCTGACTCATATTCAACTTAACATTGACCAGGACCCCCAGGTCCCTTTAATCAGTGCTTCCGTTCAGCCTCTCATTCCCTAGTCTGTACACACAAGCAGGGTTACCCCATCCCAGGTGCAGAATCCAGCACTTGCCCTTGCTAAATTTCAGAGTTGTCATTGCCCAGCTTTCTAATTTGTTGAGGTCTCTCTGCCCTCGAGGGAGTCGACAGCTCCTTCTGATTTAGTATTGTTGGGAAACTTAGTATATCTTCAAGTCCTTTGTCCACGTTATTAATGAAGATATTGAAAAGAAGTGGGCTGAGGATGTAGCCCTGTGGAATCCCACTAGTGACCAGATGCCAGTCTGATGTTACCCCATTCACTATTATCCTTTGTGCTGGACCCGTGAGCCAGTTGCTCTCCCATTGCGTTACATGGTTATCCAGTTACGTGCTGGGCATTTTGTCCAGAATTCTGGATACTGTGATTGAGTCTCAAAAGCTTTGCTGAAGTCCAAAAAGATTACATCCACTGGCATTCCTAGATCAGCTAGGTGGGTTACCCTGTCATAGAAGGAAGTCAGGTTTGACAAGCGGGACTTTCCCCTCCTGAAATCTTGCTGGCTGTGACCAGTGACTGCATTGTCCTCCAAGTGTTTCTCAGTACCTCCCAAAATAATCTTTTCCATAATTTTACCAGGCACTGAAGTGAGACTGACAAACCTGTTGTTTCCAGGGTCTTCCCTCTTCCCCTTCTTGAAAATTAGGACAATGTTTGCCAGCTTCCAGTCAGCTGGGACCTTTCTGGATTCCCAAGACTGCTCAAAAATCATCAAGACTATTTAAATAGTATGGCTTCCTTGTTCTGTCATTTTCTCTGAGTTGTACCTATGTGTAGTTCCTACATAGTCCAAGAGGGATCAGCAGGAATCAGGTTTTAGTTTTTTGGATTCTCTTTAATTTAAGTAGTACATGCTTTGAGTACAAAGTCAAAGCTTTTGACCAAAACTCTGTTCAATTATTTCACTACGCCCAGTGGTAAAAGTGAAGCAGAGGGCTCTTGGTATTCAGCTGTCTACTTCTTCTAAGAATGAATGCAGAGAAACCACCCCTGCAGTAAAACAACCAACTCTTCGTCCCATGTGGTTTCCTCAAGGTTTTCAGCTGTTCTGTGGGAAACTTTGCTGTAACAGTTTTTAGCTTAATGCTCTGGAAAGATAATGGAGACCACATTTCCACCAAATATCAACTGGGTTATGGGGAGACCAAGAAGAGATCTCTCTTTTCTGGAAGTTAACTGTCAGATCATTACAAAAATTCACTTCCCTTTTTGCTCTTAAATTTTTCCAGTGGCAGGAAAATGTATTCAGCACTTAAAATATTTGGAAGTATTTTTGAGTTTTCTGTTTGTTTTGTTTGTTTTGGTTCCTAACTATCAGGAGAACCACTAGTTTTTTAAGTGTGCATCAGACCCATTGTTTGTTGCAAAAAATCAGGAGGCTACATTTTGTAGGTAAAGAACTTAACTGCTTCATTGGGCCACTAACTTCAGCAGTTACTAACTTCTAGCATTCTTCTGTCCTCTAATAAAATAGAGAGCTTTCTACATTGTGTATCTTCTAATCAGCGTGGCATCCTGCCTCAGAGCAGGCTTTCTCATCTTGCCCTTCTGTGTAAAATTGGTCTTTCTGAACTCTGGAGTTGGTGCTTACGAAAATTCTTAGGAGACCATGGCTTCAAGAAACCCCTGTGTACTTGTTGTTAAATGGGGGACTTGTAGAGAAGGAACTGAGCAAGGTCTCCTTGCCTTCAAAACTTGCACTTCACCATGCTCTGCTCTTGCAGAGCGTTGAGCACTTCAGGACTTAGGAATGCTATCTTTGCAGTCAAACAACCACTAAGAAAGAAACCCATTCAGTGTGTTGCAGAGCTGAACTCCAAGTTGTACCTCTAAGGATGCAATAGATCAGATGGCCAAATGGAAGCAAATGCACTGCTAGACAACGCACCTTCTTTTCCTGTGGTGGTAGTTCGGCAAGCAGAGAGGATGGCTTTGGATTTTAATAATGGTAGAGAACAAGCAACTAATTTTTGGCCTTCAAGTTTAGAATTAGAGAGAAGGTCGGTGTTTCCTGTTTGGTTTGTTCATTAGTTAGGGTTGTTTTCTTTGTCCTATTTGTTTTGGTTTTTTTTAAAGGCTGACATTTATGAACAACTGACCTGCATACTGGTAAAGATCCATGTGACTTAGCTAACAGCACCCTTGCTCTGTATACTTTACATGAACTGCTTTGGTTTCCTAAATTGCGCTAAAGTTTTGCATCCCTTTCCTTTAGAAATGCTTTTGGCTGTTTCCTGCAATGTCTAACAGTTGCATATTCTCAGGGATTTTACTTATCCATGGTGAAATAAGAGTAATCACAGCCTTACCATAAGGGATGTAAGGCTGCTTTTTGTGAAGTTAGTGTAGCTGAGTGTAGAACTCTGATGCAGCATATGACATGGGCAGCGTCTGTCCAGTGCACATCCTTGTTGAGACATGGTAAATCCCAAAGCAATCTGATAAAAGTGCTATCTAGTACTGAATAATGACAGCATATTTGAATAGAGGTCACGAACACGTCTTTGTTACAAAGCATCATTGGCATTAGAGCAGAGCTCTCAAGTAATTCCAGTCAAGTTCTGTTAGCAACAGGATGCTTTTATTTATTTTATTTATTTTATTGTTATGTTTTTAAAACAAGCTGTGTTTTGGAAACCCCTCTGCTATTTTAAGACACCATACTCAGTTCCATATTGAAGTTCTGTGACTTTACAATTCTAGAATATGAACTGCATACTCAAGTGCTTTAGTGTAAACTTAAGCACATCTTGACACTGTTATACCATGGGTCTCCCTCTAACAGATGCACTGAAAGTTAAGGGCCATATACCTTCACTTCTTGTAAAGCATCATCAGGATTTAGGCTACAACTGTTTGCTTTTAAAATGTTTCATGGTTCGAAAAGTGTCACTTGGTTGACTGGATGTATAAAAAGTATGCCCAAAATATGCTCCAGTTGTTTGCAGCATGCTTTGGCAAAGGAGTGTGAACCATTATAGAAAACAGTGTTGTGTAGTCCCTGTGCTGGACCTGCTAACCCTTTCTTTTTGTTATCACTTCAGCTTTTGTGGAAAACTTAAAAGAACTTTGAACTGCCTTTCAGACACCTGGAAAGATCATTAGCGTGTTCCTACCCAGCTGTCTTTTCCTTCTTCCTCAGCATGGTATTTTCTTTCCATGCACTGTCCTCTGCCTTGCTATCAGAGCTGCTGCTGTCGAAGCATCTCTCTATAAGAATGCAAAGCAGGAAGTTTTGTAAGGGATACAGATATAAACTTGGAACATCAGACCTGAATTCTATGGCAGGCAACGAGGCATACAGATGGAAAAATGGAGAATTTTCTCTGAAGTTTCACCCTGAGTTGACATATTTTACCAGGAAAACCACACTACTTTAAACTTGATTTCGTTAATGAAATTTAAATTGGGACACTTCAGATATGGAAGTTCTGCCTCATAGAACTGAAAGCACAGGGGTTTTGGTTTTGCTGTTTTGGTTGTTTTATTATTTAATTTTATTTCTTTTCTCTGGTCTGCATAGTGCACATAACAAAACAAAAAATAAACAGGGTGAGGGTGGGGATAACAGAATTCAAACCTTGCTTGCACCTTCTGTAGCCCCTTGGTGAACAAACCCTGCAAACTACTGAATGCTCTAGGCAATTTAAAATCACCCTTGTGCAGAAGAGGTATCATAGCATACTTAGGCTCTGAGTAAGCTCAGGCTGTAGCTGATCCTGCTCACAGCTTACACGAGGATTTAAGCACTTGTTTTGAAGTTAGAACATGTCCATAAGTATGCTTCACTTAAACACATGCACCGTCCCACTGGCATGCAGTTCTTCAAAATGTAGTCTTTGATTTTCATTGTTAAAATCCCTTCTGTGGTATAGGGTTTCTCCCCCCTCACATTCCAGATGTGTTAAAAGTTTCACATTTTTGAATACGAAACATCCTTGTTTTCATTTCCTGATTTCTGTTTAACGCTAAGTGTGTGAGCCATTTTGAAAGTTTGAGATTTACCTCTACTTGAAACTAAACAAGTAATTGCACTCCAGAATAGAGGAATCAAACTGAAAACCAAGGGAGTTTGCTTTTATGGTTTTCTATTCATTTTTCAAGCTAATTTTGGGCATACATTTTATCAATGTCAAGCTGAGCTTACTACAAGTCTTACTTTACTTACTGAAATACATTATATACATACTGAAATGCATTGAAAGATGAAGAGAAGGTATATTGCCTCACACTTTAAATTTACTGAATTCTAAGGGCTTGTTCATGCCCCCAAAATCACCTCTCTGTGTAAGCATGACACAAATTATGCTGTCGTAAGCAGTTCAGTCTGAAATACTCTGAAGTTTCCAGTCTGCATCATCTCTCAAATCATACAGCATCTGTCTCTTCTTTTGGAGCATTGTTAAGACTTTTGTCAGACTTTTATATTATTTCATTATAATAAACTTATTTTAAATAAGCATGTTTTAAAATCTCGTTTTCTCCTTGCATGAATTTTGTTTCTTTTATTACAATATAGGGCCTAAGGTGCTCTTAAGGACTGCATCTGTTGTGGTTGCTGTGTGGACAGTCAAAAACAGTATGTTTCTGGTTCACAGACGCTACCTGTAGGTATCTTTGTATGAAGAATGTTGACACACATGGAGGCTGTTTAGATTATGAGAACAAAAACTGTGTCTGGAATATGGCTGGGGTCCCTGGCCAGTGTAAATATATGAAGATTGTAGTTACAAAACCTAGCCTGGCAGTGTGAGAGAAATATCTATTTTCTTGTATTATTTGTCCTTCTTTTGCCTGGTCTTGAATCTCTTCCATAGAGACTTCAAAGACTTCAGAAACTCCTATGTGGTTGTCGAGATTCACTTGAAGACTAGTGCTCTTTAATGTGGGTGTAACATCTCCCTTTCTTCCCTTTTCTCTCTTTCCTTATAAACACAGCATGGACCTTACAGCAGATCTGTGATTGTGTCTCTCTAGCAAGGGCAAGTACCTCTGTTTAATGGCAACAACAAGGTGGAGATCTGGGACACAGCAGAGGCATCTTCTCAGCTGCAGAAGAGCAGATGAGACGGAGCCCCTGCCTGTGCCTAACCAGCCCTGTGGGAGGGGAAGGATGCATGTATCCTGTTGCAGCAGCACTGCTCAGCTACAGCTGGCTGTCTCCCATGGGACACAGGAATCTCTGATTCCTTCTAATTGCAGTAGGCCCCAGAGCATCATCCTGCAAAGGCCAAGAGTTGCTTTTGCTTTGGGAAGGACTGAGCTCTGGCAGGAGCCTCAAACTCATCATCACTCTGTCTCACCTGCTGGGGCTGAGCTGGTGGGTAGTTGGGCACCCATCTAATAGTTCAGAAAGCCTTCCAGGGCAGAGATCACATTCCTTTTTTAGCACTCCAGGGTTTTATTCATCTTCCTTCCTAAGGAAATGAACAGGTTATCAGCCATGAGACCCTGTCAGTTCCAGGTAAATAACAACAGTTGTGTTACTGATGCTTTAAGGGGTTTCTCTAAGACACTGTCTTGACCCTGTTCCATGGGCATGTGGAAATGACTTGTAGTGTTCATTGCAGCCATGGCACAGATTGCTTTGGTGGCTCTCCCGAAGCATCAGCTGTGCCACAATCAGAGTCCATTTCACTGTCTGACCTGGCAGCTCCTCTGAAGCCATGCTGTTTATATGTCACAGTTAGATGGCAGAGCTCTGTTCTGCACAGTCAGGACTTCTAGTGTTGGTATCCACGCTGTCTTACACTGCAGTAGGCAACTGTGGCTTTTCATACTAAAACACAGAGGGTGTATATAGAGACACTGAAAGAGGTACAGAGTCCATAAAAACTTCCCTTATATGCAGTGTTAAAATGAACTGTTACCTTTTCTCACTTGAAATCATAGGGTGATGTTCTAGCAGAAAGATGAGGTTTAGCTTTCCATATAGGCATGCAAGAGACAGAGAAGCAGTGATTTGCAACTTGCTGCAGCCATGCAGACAACTTCTTTGTATTGACATTTCTGGACTGGAAGAAGAGGAGTGATGCGTTTGGGGGCCATCATGTATCGCAGTGTCCACAGACCTGCCCCCTGACTGTCAGTACTTTGACAAAACCCACAAGCTAATGCCTCAAAGCACAGCTTCTACCTGTGAGCTGCAGTACTGATTTGCCAACCAGCACTGTAGTGCTGTATTTTAGAGCTGAAATGTGTCCATGAGCAGAGGGAGCAGGATGTGTTGGCTGTGGCAAGGAGGTCTGCAGCTGTGCAGAGGGACTGCGAGCACAGTTGCTGGTCTTCTCTGCAGAATGCCTTGTTCTAAACAGCCGAGCACAGACCAGCAGCACTGCACAGACATGTTCTAATAGAAATCCCAGACACAAAAAGATACCTCCCAGGCAAGTGTCACCTCACTACAACTTCCAGTGATTAAGAAAGGCAAATCTGTTGCCATTACAGGATCCCAGATGAAGATCTTCCCAGGGAAAAACCCAGCTTTGACAGTTTGCCATGTTAATAAAGGTCAGGAACCATGAGAGTAGCTGCTAAATTCCTGTCCCTCCAGGAATCTAGATCCATGGTTCAAAATTAAAAATGGTGTGCTGAACATGTGGGGTTCACAGGAACATAGAGGTGCTGCTGTTAAAATGGGAAGATCAAAGAGGACACATTAGATTCAATAATTATCAAAATATTAATGCTGTTTTCTTAGGGTTCTCCTATATGGATAAAACCTATGTTTTCTGAATTTGAGAGGAAAAGGTAATGCAAGCTCACAGCACCAAAGCTATGACCAATGCACTGAGGCAGTGACACCTTTACTGTGTTGGTTTCTTTTTAACCCAACTGAAAACTCTACTATGCTGCGGGCAGTGTGGGGCTGGCATGCAATTTTGCTGCCCTATGGGAAATACAGTGCTATTGAGATGCAGAATATGAGACCATAGTTCAGGTTTTGAACACCAATTTTATGTGTTTATGCCAAGTTGTTCCCTGAACTGTAGCCATGAGGAGAAGAGTTTTCTTTATCATTTGGGGGCTGGTGGAATATGTGTCAAGCACAAGTACTAGGACTGAGAAGAGGAATTGCAGGAGATGCTGCAGTATGCCAGACACTTCTAGACGTTGGTACAACCAAGCTAAGTGTCTGTCCATCTGGAATATTTCTTCCAAAATATTACCATGTGGTTTTCAATATATTGACCCAAATATATGTATTAATGAACAGATATTTATTCCTCTCCTTGTGTGTCTAACACAGGTTTTAGATTTGTTTCTTATGTGTTACCATTAAAAAAAACAAACAACCAAACAGCCAGCCTTTAGAAAGCTTCCCTACCCTGCCAGAAGCTGCACTGATGATTGTGCAGGCTCAACCCCCGACTTCGGGGATTAGGCTAATAGGCTCTTCCAAGTTTTGTTGTATTCTTGCATTTTCCTAACCTTCACCTTATACCAGCTTGTATTACTTTGCTGTGTGTCTGGCAAAATCCCTCCAGGATCTTCCACTGTTTATCACTGCTTTAGTGAGGTGTCACCCATTAGTACAGGAGTTCTGCAGACAGCAGGATGAGCTGAAATTGGCGATACTCGTGTCCTTCCAGAGCTGTCAGCTGAGGAGTCACTAAGATGCTGCTTCCTGACTGGGTCCTGGTGCCAACCAGCAGCATTTGGCCACTTTCCAAGTGCGTACCTAACTACTTTCAGCAAGATGCACTGGTGTGTGGCCTCTGCAAAGTCCCACAGTGATGCCAAAGAGACAACAGCTCACTGTTTTCTCAAAATCAAACAGATCTGAGACTTCAGAATGCGTTTTGCATCAGTTTGGGCTCCTGCTCCAGCTATGGCATTCTGCCAAAATAATTTCCAATCAGTTTAGCATCTGTTTCCAGTGTTGGTATCACCAGCTCATCTGTAGTCTTCAGAGACCAGACGTGCCTCACATAGTTTCCTATAGGTCACAGTTTTCCACTTGCTTTCTTGCTTAGCAGCTGGTACCCAACCTCCTTCCTGCAGGCAGGAGGAAGCCGGTGCTGTTCAGCCTGTGCAGCCTCTGCTGTGCTGCCACCCCTCGCCCACCCCTCTTGCTCCCCAACATGACATTTGAGCCGTGGTCTCAGGTATTCGACACTCACTGAGCCCAGCACTCAACGTCCCACACACTGAGCAACGACCAGCTTTCCCAAAGCAACAGCTTTGGCACAAAGAACAGGCGGCTTTTGGGGGTGTTTGCAGTGGGGTGCTATGGGTGTCCCTGTGAAACCTGCGCCCCTTTGAGCGCCAGGGTGACCGGGAGAGCTTTTTTGCCAAAAACATGGTGGGAGACCCTTGTCAAGAGAAAGAGGCCCACTCTCCTGCACAGAGCTTCGTTCTGTCCCGCAGCCCTGGTATGAGGCACTGACAGCCTGTCTCAGCAGATGTGCCAGCCAGGCACAGGAACCTGCTCGTACATGCTTTTCCCCTTGTCAGGGACACACTCAATGTTCCAATCACTCATTGGATCCTGCCAGGACATTTCACTATTTATTTTCTTCAATCCAGCTTACTAAATTCCCTTTACCCACCAGTCTTTTAAGGATCTATATTCTCTCACCTTTAATTTACAGTGCACTCTCAGTGTATAAATAGTCACTGTTACTTACACTGCCTCACACTTCATCAATCACCTTGAGTAAGCTGCTCTCCCCTGGGGCTCAAACCAGCCCCTGGGCGGAATCTCAGGAAAACCCCAGACTATTTCAAAGAACTTGCTTCTTATCAGCCAGCCCAAAAGTTTCTTCATATAGCACTGTTTTCTTATGTCAGTCTTTTACTTGTGTGGAGAGTTCACACATCCAGGCTATGCTACTTCTGAAATAGGACTCTCTCTTGTCCAAGCTCTTCCACTTTGGATAAAGTAATTAAATATTAGTTTACATTTTCTTAACCCTCTATTTTTGGGTGATATTCACAGCCTGTGTGTACCTGTTATCCATACAAGGAATGGATTTATCTCTCCACATTCATATATTTTTTTTGTCCACTGACCATCTCAAATGGAGCTCTGCTTTCTGCTCTGTTGATTGAGATGCCTAAAAACACATAAAAGTGGGATATTCCTGCACAAATAGAACTTTTAAAACCAGCTATTTGTTATCACCCTTTTTATTAAAACAGAAAGAAGCAAAGAAATAATCTGAGGGAGTCCTGCTTAAAGAACTTTTCTTACAGGCTTCAAAGTTCGGTGAAACCAAGGGAGGGTCTGGAAAGCTGCCTTACTTTATATCCCTAAATAAATAGACATGTGTGACCATCTTGGTAAATCACAGCTGTCAAGCATGTGTCTCTCAGTCTCAGTGACAACCTTCAGTTGAGGCACAAGCGGTGAGGGTGTGGAGGGGAACTCCTTCCACTCCCAAATCCTGGTGCAATACATCTGCCATGGATACAGCAGTGAAACTTGGACATGAGTGTTGCAAGCAAGGAGAGAAA